TCAACAGATAAATCGCTATAAAGCCGTTATTTATAGTATCCATGAAAAGACATCAGCTCTTAGTTGGATTTACAACGTTTTTTGAAGTAATCTTGAAGGTGGTTAAGGTCAAGAAACATATATATCGGCCCATCACCTCATAAAAAATATGCATCCTGCGACTTCCAATGCCAAATTAGTAACAGCGTCTTATTTTATGGATAATGTACTGGGGTTAAGCTCCTAAGGTGTTTACTTAACTACACAATAAGATCTCTAAACTTTTAATTATCTATTTAGTTAAGTATGGTGTGTTATGAGCAGTATTATTGGTGAAAATTAACCATTTTTTGGGAATACTATGTTAAAATGAGCTAAAAGAAGCAAAATGCTTGTGTCATGCAACAACATATTTTTCGGTATATTCAAAACGAAATACTAAAACACTAGACCCTGGACAATGAATGATCACACTCGTCAGCTTAGCATTGTTATTAACTATCAAGATGAGAATAATAGAAAAACGAGTTCAATGTCGCGAACTTCACAATATAAACGGAAATAAGTTTCATGATATCAGTTTGCTAGATACAAGACGAATCGTATATTTCACGTGTAAATAAAGGTCATTTTTAGGAAACGTATCGTTCCAATGACGTGTAAAGGAGTAAAGTATATTTATCGAAAATAGAAACGTGGGTTTATTATTATGCGTCAGATGGCCTGGATAACTTATGCGTTAAGGTCTTCTGGAGAAATAATAGTAAGATTATGTTGATATCAAGCTTTCTCAAGTAATATAACCAGAGGATGATGGGTTTAGTGGCGTAAAATATATTTAAAGATAGAAAAAGAAGAATTTGGGATTATCAAGCACTCTTTAGAAAAGGTAAACGTATCAACAAAACCTTGTCGGGACACAGACATGATAATTGTGACGAAATAAGTTTAGAGGACAATGAAAACAGGGGGGGATCTAAAAACACCTTACTCCAGGAGACATCAGAAGAGCATTTGTAAACCATTTTAATGTCAGCTAGATTTCTAGGGTATTTTGTGATAATGAACAAGTGTATATAATAATAAATACCTGATGCGAAAAGACATGCATCGCTAGATAATTACACTGGTTAGTGAAAGCAGTTTCGACAGTGTCATGCATAAATTATGTTCACATACTCACGACTTATGAATTAAACATTTCAATTTTGATTTTCAAAGCAATGGGTACAACTCACTTATGGTTTGACTTGTGAATTTTATCAGAACGTTCAGATAATTGTTCGCTTTCCAATTCTCACTATTCTGACATTAATGTTCTCATTTTAACCAACTAGATAGGTTATCTGTGAAATCATTGCTGTTGGTTCCAGAAAGACTCACACGTAATCAAAATGTATCAACCATCTAAATGATTGTCAGATTTATTAGGAATCATTTAGTCAAATAGCTAGAATGCTTCACTCCACACTACCGATGGACTGGAGTTAAGCTCAAACGTCAAAATGATAAAACAGAGTAATCAGTTCATTCGTACAAGCTTGCTACAAATATATTGGTCTTCCTGCACAGTTTTCACCACTGATTAACTAAGTAATTTACTTATTTAGTTCTTCAAACTGTTGTCTTCTCTTAGCATTCGAATTTTCTGCATACTATTTTTCACATTGCAATCAGCCACCCCCTGCATAGTACTGTGATAGCTGATGGTATCAAGAAACCATCCTGCCCCACTCACAGTATAAGATACACAAACCTATAGATAACTACGGAACTAACTAGAATTAGTGTGAAACAGGAGTTGGAATACCACCACTTGCACATTAGCAAATACCCTGAACCTCACATAAACGACGAGAAGCTGGGTCAAAGAAATCAATCGGCTTATACAAGCTCATCGCAATGATAATGGATATGTTATGTATACAATTGTACAGAATCAATCGCATCGGAGGCGCATGTTTGTGGTACATATGAGGCAGCATGTTGTATAACTAAGTCTAAACACGAGTTAATGACTTTAGGAGGAATATACCGTAATCCGTGTTGTCTTGCTGACTATTTTACCTTAAGATACATCTGTTTTTTTGAGTAAGGTCAAACGCTGTCTAATCATTGGAGATTTCAACGCAACGCGAACCAACTGGATGGGGCTTACAGCTCCAGGTAGGGGTTTCGATAGCGACCTTCTATCAACCATTTTTCAGTGTGCAATTTTACTATGTGTCGCAAAACTGACACACATTGACTTGGAACATGGTTTATCTTTTCTGGACTTTGTCTTCACACACCACTGTGACGATATTATCAACATTCAGTACCTTCCACCACCAGCTAATAGTGATCACGTTGTCCTTTACTTTGGGTTTCGGACACATGGTATACAATATTTATCTATTCCATCCCGTCCCAATATCTGGCTAGCTAATATTCCGGTAATTAGAGACTGTCATGTGGACAAACCAATCGGTCGATAGGGATGGAACGATAAAAGACGAATGCAATAAGTTTAAGGATACATTCGAGTCCGCAACCACTGTTTATCCCATGGTCAACACGTAAGCTATCACATTGTCCTTCATGGAGTAATAAGGAAACCCGAAAACACTTCTGGAAATTATTCTTGTCGACAAGACACAAATCATTTAAGTGTAAATACCGAAAAATCTGGAATATATGCAAAAGCCCCGCATTAATGTTGCGCGAATATTTAGATTTACTGGCTGAATCAGATCTGGGAAAGGCTGAGATTATCAAACTATTTCTTCGAAATGCAACCCACATGCACTGTTAAAAATACTTATCCTAGTCACACCACTGAGATACCAGCCATAGGGCCTACACATGTGACTGAGAAGACTGTTCTTCCACTGATTATTAACCTCGAACCTTGCAAGATACCGGGCCTTGATGGGTTCCATCCACGATTGCTATCATCTCTCGCAGACATTATTTCAAGACCATTCGCGATGCTCTTCAACATATCCCTTTCCCTTACCCAACTCCCTAGAGATTGGATAGATGCTACAGTCAATCCTGTACTTAAAGATGGTCAGAGACAGATAGTATCTAACTACCGGCCTGTCAGTCCAATCAGCATAGTCGTTACGTTGCTTGAAAAGATAATTCGGGTTAAATTACTAGATCTCATAGAATTGTACAATCTGTTAACTCCCGAGCAACACGGGTTTCGAACACAAGCATTCATGTTTGACCAACTTACTCATTGTGTGAGAGGATCAGACGGTGACCCAGACAACATTCAGTTTGTCGATGTGATATTCATAGACCTTAGTAAAGTTTTGACAAGGTTCCATACTTGGGTTTTATCTAGAAGCTCTTGAGCTTCGGAATGCTTTGACGAGGAAATGTTTCGAATTTTATATCTCACCTATGTAAGATCACACTTGGAGTACTGTATCCAAGCAGCCAGCCCATATCTGATAGGGGATACTAACTCAGTTGAGTATGTTCAGAGTGTGGGAACAAAATTAGTGAATGGTCTTTCTAAAACTTTTTAAAACTCATAAACCTTCTCCCCTTGTCGTATCGTAGAGCGCGTAGTGACCTTTTACTGGTATTTCGTATCCTTAATTACGATTTGTGTGTTAATATGTCTTATCTTCTTGTTCTCTCCAGCAGTAATAATCTCCGAGGTCATAGCAAGAGGGTTCACAAATCACGACATAGCAAAATTAAAGTAAAGTTCCGATTTTCTCATCGAGTGGCCAATGACTCGAAAGCTTTACTCAAACAGGTGGTACTAGCCTCATCAGTGGACATTTTTAAGGAGAAACTGGACATTCAATACAAGGCAATCTGTCAAGAATAACGCAGATTCATTAACTAACTATCATTATTACCGAAGAATGATATTGGATATTGAGCAACAGAATGGTTACTAATGTAAATTGCGCGTCATTCAGTTTTTTATTTTTAATACCGTTACAATTTCATAATGTGCTTGAACCTTTATTCTGTTAAACCGTCGTTTAGATTATCAACTTGTTCTGATTCTTCATTTGAGTCATTGTCACTTGGTAACGACTGCTTTCGTGAATAAATATGAGCGCATTCAACAGGTTGTTGAGTTGACTCACTTTTTCTCGTGAGAAAAAATATGTATATTTTTGGCCTCTGTCGGTCGTTATACATGGTACCTCAAATAGGGAATAATTGTAGCTCATTTACAACTTCATCCAGGGCTTCATGTTATGAATCAGTGTAGTTGAACCACGTTCACTAAATAGGTTGCTTAACCATTCCGTTACTTTGGCACAGCTGATTAGTAATGACTGATAAATCTCATAATGGCGTTTTTGATTATGACATGCTGTGAACCATTTGGTAAAACTGCATTCCTTTTTATGGCTAGTTTTACGTGTTTTGCGTAAGGAGTCAAGTTATTTAAATTTGCTTTTAGTGGCTAATATTACCGTTTAATGCCAATAAATATATACATATGCATAAATATGTGTTAAATACCAAGTGGAAATGGAAATCAGACCTTATGATATGCGAAATTCAGCATAAATGGTGTGGGTGAAGCTATAATGTATAGACGAGCTTTGAGCGACGTTAAAGTGACTCTTAGAATGTCGACCTACTTTCTGGGTCTAAATTAAGATTACAAAGCAGTTTGAAGAATAAAGATTATGATTTACAGTTCACGGTTAAAGGTAGGAATTGTAATTAGGGTCTCCACCACGAACTGTCATCAGCTAAATTGCCAAAACGCTATTCGGCGAATTGATGAGTGGATTTTGCTCTAAAATCCGAAACCTGTTATCCCAAATCTGATTAGTTCGTCCATAAATTATAACCTCACGTTTTTGTTAAAAATTTTGCTGGCTTTTATACTGGCGTTGGCGTTTCCGATCTCTGATTGGGTTTATAGGATCACTTAAGTGTTACTCAGCACAGCGCTTTATCAGTTGCTAGTCAAAATTTTGTCGATGAAGATTTCACAATGTACTAAGTTTCATGAAACAGTTCAGCCTTTAAGGCTATTTAAGTTGTTATTGACATCCAAAACCAGTTAACACTAATTAATCTCTCATGACACCATATGATGACAGTCAAAACATTTTTTCAAGGTACTTATGTATAATGACATGCACCTTATTTACAAGCGATAGAGATTCATCTTACAGCGTGTTAACATATGAATATTCCACGACGTTATAATCCGTCTGTGTATATATGACCTACTGTTCAACAAGATCGCTAACATTGGCGACCACCCTTATTTTATCTTTTCTAACAAACGGTTTGAATATTTATAATCATTATCTTACCTCATACTTTTTCATGGCTAACATATATCTATGGAGGCCACTAAATGTATATATAAGCTGTTAACCCTGCTAAAAGTCACAAGAAAATGAAATATTTTGTGCAATCCCAATGTGATCCAACAATATGAATTTACATTTCATGAAACAAAAGTTGGTTTCTTAAACTATCTGATCGATCATTTTTTTTATGCAGTGCTGCCCATTACTGTAAAAACGTGTCTGTAGTTTAGTTAGCTACTTAAATTTACCAACACTTATTTACTCTCGGTGACTTGAGTCTGAGCCAAAAGAGAATTTATTTGTAGAGGTATGATTTAAAACCCATAGTTATGACTACATGATAAGACTGCACACTACCAGTAACTCAAATAAATCAAATAAGTCACTATGACAGTGAGGTTGAGACAAACTTAGATATTTTAGAAATTTGTGGCCTGAAGTGGAAGGATTAACAGAGTAGGTGATGTAAAAAAATAAAAAGATGCTAACTTGGTTTTATAAACAATATCTAAGCGATTATCAACAGTATCGCACTACAATTGGATTCAGAGAATTGTGGGCAAAAACGGAAATATCACTTTACAATATCCAGTGGATTACTTGATTGCTTAGACGGTTAATCAGTTGTATCCATTTACAACTGTAAATACATCTTATTTTTTCTCTCTTTTAGATTTCTACATGTATATTTTTACCACAATACCTCGATAACATACATTTAGAATAGACCAGAGAATTCAAATATTGGACATCATAGATGATACAAACTAAAAGTTCGTGGACTCCATTGGTGAACAAAGACGCAAATAAAACGGTATTGTTTTGTTTAATTCCTCCATTACTTGTCAGTTTTAGCTTTTTGAAGAACGAAAACATCTTATTTTAGCTTGGGTATGAAATAAGATCGCGTTTTACATAATCTTTAGTTTGCCAAATGGTCAGAAAGTCAAAGAAAGGAGTTAATGACGAAACTTTTCGAGTTATGCACTCAGAAACAACTTGAGTCACTTTTTCACAATATAGAAAATAAAATTCCTTTATACCAAATAGATTTTACTAGAATACTACCAAGAGTTCTATGCATTTATCTGTTTTCTTTTCTGGATCCTAGAAGTCTCTGTCGCTGTGCACAGGTAAGTATTAGCTATTCATTGGATGTCTTCTAGTTTTTTTTTTAACAAAGACATTCAATTTCATAAACCAGTTAACAACAGTAATATTGTTCATATACTTATATAGTGTCAATTACTTTCTGTACATTTCATATAAACATTGTAAAGAAACATTTCTTAAAGGTTTATAGAAAAGGAAATTAATAGCTCAGTAAATACACGCTATTGATGTTATATCCATTGTTATAATACAAAAACTCATGGTCATGAATAACATTTGTTCATAACGTGAGTTCCTAGTCGCATAACTGGTCTATAGTATAAATCAGAACAGTGGAAGCACGTTCAAAATTAAATGTTACCAATATTTTCTGTGTGGTCATTATGAACTTGAAAAATCTGCTCACAACTAAAGAAAGGTAACAAATTCAATTGCATATTCTGTATCCAAGTATACGAATATTGATCGCTCTAATTAACTCCAACCATTTGAATAACTTTGTATGCGGTGACTTTGTTCTGGGTTTGGATCTCGCGGGGGGGGGCGTATCGTGGATGCGCACTTCTGGGGAGTCCCATACTAGGACGAAACGCCCGTCCAGTGCTCCCAGATTTTCCAGGGTGGTCTAGCTTCAATTGACTCATGATTTCAACCAGTGAAATCCATACATTCTCTAAATTGATTTCCTTATTTAATCCGATTAACTAGACTAATTGATATTATAAGGTTAATGAAAAATGTCTTGAGAATGAATATTCTTCAAATAAACTAGTTCACTAGACCACGTGCATAAAAAGTACATGGAATTTATGAAGTGTGTTTTATATGTGAATTGGTGTAGTGATCAGTCATTGTGTTAAGTTGTTAAATATAAAAAACCAAGCATATTTTTAATGAATTTCAGCGTCAGTCAGTCGTCAATTATACTGTTGAATCAACTTGTGAAACCACATATTTAGTACAGTAAGTGAATAAATAGGAAAACTGATAGTCATACATATATGACATTAGACATGGATAAAATTTGATAAATAATCACATGAATAAGTAGTATCAAAAGTGTCATATTGTTATCTTGCTTTATACTTATTTAAACAAAAACAGATTTGATTAAGTCTATGGTTTGAGTGAATAGCATAAAGCTGACTTGAAAACAAACTCATTTCTTTGATGGTTATTCACCAATAACATGACCATTCATTGTCGCAAACATTTTGATTTGTTATATAAGCTATTTATAATTAATTCAAAGAACAGTCCAGTAGCAAATATTTATCGGTAGTTAAATTGACTAGTAAACTAATCAACCTAAATATGAACCATTTTTGAGTGAACCTCTTCGTGAAGTATAGATGGCGGTATCTTTGTCGAAAATACTGCGTCATACCGCCAGAAATTACAGTGAATAATAAAGACTTAGTATTTCATGTAACGGTTTAAATGATCTTGTTGTACAGGTGAGTAGCTATTTAAACTCAGTAGCCAGGTGGATAACCCATTAGCATTTGAAGCAAAAGAGATTGAGTTTGAATCCTGAAGTGAGCATCAATCCCAGGATGCAAGAAAATTTAGCTGAAGAGACCTAAATAGGAAAAAACTTGCGTCTTGTATTCTACTGCTAGCTACATTCAAGTTATTCTATATGGATATAGTTCACTTTATTATGATTTCAAAATCAAGAGTTTAAACCTCATCATATGTTATTTACTCTGTTTCTTAATCTTATATACTACTAATGACCATTTGGATATATCTGATACACATCTCGCTTGACTGAAAATTTACTGCTTATCAGAAATCGAACCTAAGTTTCAGTCAAAAGTCTCTAATTACACGTTGTTTGAAGAGAAAGTAGAGTTCCTTTGTCATAATGTTAGAAAATGATAGTTAACATTAATCAGTGTTTATAAAATACCATGAATGAAACGTTTTAGTGCTTTGTATTCTCTAATGGTCCTCTGTTTGTAAATTATTTTTAAAAATCATTTTCTACACAAATCTATCGACGAATTTGTTTGCGACACTTTTCTCTCGTTCTAAATTCAGAATGTTGCTTTAAAACTGACCTATGTTAGTACTTAAATTGCCTGGACAGAATAAATTATTCACTGAGTTGATCACTTTATTTGTCATGAAAGTCTCATTACCCCCGGTGAATAGGAATCGTCAAAATCTCGATTGGAATTCAAAACACTCGGTTGATATTTATCAAACTACGTTACTTGTAGCAAGATGTCCATTTAACAACTAAGAGCCGACTATACTGCAATGCTATCCGGTATTGGAGAAGGTTGGAAGAAAGTAAGGGGCGGCCAAACCAAAACGTGGCATCAGTGCTTGAAGTCACTAACTTGTAGTCTGAGCCATGTTGGTAGATGCAGACTACTTGCTTGGGGTCCGCGTGACTTTCGTAACCAATGGTTGGAGACTCTTGGTAACATGGCTCAGAATCGATCACAATGGCGTCGGTGTACACACACTCTATCTTCCCTTAAACTAAGAGATTAAAATTGCTTCATATCTTTCTTTCTACAAACCAATTCTTTCTTCTTGTACTATATCTCTATATGCAATCTTTCTCTTATATATTACCACCTTTGACCTAACCACTGCTATGAATCCGGTGTTCATCTTGTTGTGCTGATGCGGTATGGAAACCTGGTCCTACGTTGTAACTGACTGACTGACATAGTAGCCCCCTTTGTATTACTCTATAACTATGAAACATAACCTATGAAAGTGGAGAATCTACTTAGACTGTAAGCTTTTAATTATGGATGCCTTTAAAGAACTTCTCGAGTATTATAGAACGCCTGGTTGGGCAATGTTTAAGTTAGACAATGGAGTATCAGGCTAAAGTGGCAAACTAGCGGATCAGGTTTTAAATCTGTTATATCCGCATCGCTTATTATTTATTCTTAAAACCATTCCGACAACGCGAATTATGAACACGGAAGACTGGTACAAATGGAGATTTACTCAGCCCGAAAATACGACGACGACGGCGACGACTACTGTAGAAAACACACTTATTTACATATTGATTTGTATACAATTTTATTTATGAATTAGGAAAAAGTGACATATATGGAAAACGGCCAAACTAATAACAAATCACATGCTGTATATTATGCTGAACATGATTTATGTTAATTTAACACAAGAATATATTATCTTTAATAAACATCACACTGAATAATTATTATATTGAATTAGAATATGGAAGTAATTTTGGACAAGAATCATAATCAATTAAAAATGTAATATTGTATAAAAGCCTTCAAGGACATATACTAAGGTTTATTGAAGCCTTGACTATACGGAAAATTGAAACCCCCTTTATGTGATGATGAAGACGATTTGAAAGCTCTACGACTAAACCATCCAGCTCAGAGAGCAGACCTCCATCAAAACTCCTTTTATAAGTTCAAAAACAATTTTTCCTTACCCTTAACCTACCCTGGTAATAGTGATTTATTATCCAGAATGATTATCACATTGTCTTTGAGTACTTTATTTATTTGTTACGGCTTACCTTCAACTTGTATAGCTGACCTTTTCATGTTCATATAAAAATGTCTTAACAAGTATACACTGTATGATCAGATTGTTCGAAATGTATTGAGCAAATCTATCATTACATAATTCTGATAAACTTAGACTTCTCATTGTATTATCGAAATTGAAGATGTAATTTCGCCTCTTCATCTTGTCATAGTCTTAATCTTTGTCAACTTAGGTCGTTAAATTGTGTGTTCCATATTTCTAATCACTGTTTACCCTAAAACGTTTTCTCTAGGTATCATGGTATTGGAGATATCTAACTGAATCAAATGAATTATGGGCATCGAAGTGTTTAAGATATGGATGGGATTTAATCGCTTCACATAGTCAATGGGAACCTGGAATTTGGAAGAAGCATTATATTCAAAACATACGTTACCTTCAGTTTCATATTTCAGAGAAGGTGAGCATATTTATTGTAGTAATAATAATAATGACGTTTTATGGTTTGATATATATTGACCGTAGTCAAACACAATACTCTTACATTATTCAATGAGAAACGTTTTTTAGTTTACACCACATTGTGACCATACTTAGGCGAACATATGTTTCATCCTACTATGGCGTTTCCCGAAAAAATTCATCATTTCCTGTCACAAGTGAATGACTTCAAGAGGTGATTCCTAAGTTTCTGATGAGAAGCTGTGTCCAGTGGAGTCCAACCAGTTAACCAACGAGTTTATTGAAAGGTGGCTGCGTAATGTTGTGAATTAATTGAAATCGGACGTGTAAATCAGTGGTCTAAAGGTTTAGTGTTTCCAGGGAAACTTGGAGATTCTGAGTTCAAACCCCATTTGATGGGATCGTTATAATGTACTGTTGAAGAATCCTATGGTAAGAAAAAATAGCTGTTTGGTGCTTCCTAATCTTTCCATTGTTGTTTAAATGACTCATACAATTCTACAATTCCATAAATCCTATACACTGAGAAAAGTTATTTTTCTCTTACCATAACTCTTAATTTACTCCCTTTATTGATTTATTGGAGAAACATTTCTGCCTTCTTGATAAATTATGGTAAAGTACATTCATGTTTTCTCTAACTCGGTGCAATATTTTATGATATTAGCTTCATTCCAGATGTAGCATTGAACATCAGTTTTCGTCTCAACATAAGGTTTTAGTAAGTCAGTCAGTCAGTAACAACGTAAAGCTTCGTATGTACGTACATCAGTTCGAGTTACCACACCACATTAGCACAGAGATGCAGTGGTCGATTCAAATCCCGTAGTGCTAGATGTAGTAAAATTATAAGCTGTAATCAGAAAAATTAGGGTTTGAAGATGTTATGCAAGGAGTATAATACAGTGAAATAAGTTTGGAAAGAGATAAAAGAAAGGGACATGAAGAATTTAGAAGATTAGAATTCGGGAGAACATAAAGAGTGGATGCACCTGCGCCATTGCAAACGATTTTGAGCCATGTCATTCAGGGTCTCTAACCATCGGTTGCTATTATCTCGCGGTCCCCAACCAGGTAGTCTACACCTACCAACATGACTCAGTCCACTTGTCAGTGACTTCATGCACTTGTGCCATGTTTTGGTCTGGCCGCCTCTACCTTTCTTCCAATCTACTCCTATACAACAAAACATCACACATCGAGGCAGTCGGTGGTTGGGCATACGTAACACGTGTTCCAGCCATCTCAACTGATGAAGTTTCACTACATCATCAATTGATTTGCCATCCTTACATAGTACCCGTTTCCTAACAACTGCGTTACTTACTCGATGCTCCCATGATATACGAGCAATATTTCGAAGACACCTATGATCGAATACTAGTAACCTACGAATATCCTCTACTCTTACCGACAGTGTTTCACTGCCATAAAGTAGGATGGAACAAAATGCTGCGCAGTAAACCCGTCCTTTGGTTGATAGATGGATATCTCGCCCACGCCATAAATGACGCAAGTTGGCGAAAGTAAGCTAGTCGAGCCTTCTGTATCCGTGTTGAGATTTCGTCACACACCAGACTACAAGGGCTGATGAGACTTCCAAGATAAGTGAAGTGGTCGACACGCTCAACTACTTCACTCTCTATCATTAGTTCGGGTGTCGATGTAACTCAATCCTGAAGCAACATTTTGCATTTCGGGGGAAGGGGGAGAATCGCATCCCGAACAGGCCTGCATTGTTGCTTATAGTGGTCAGAAGACTCTGCATTTTGTCAGCGTCTTCACCAAATAGAACTATGTCATCGGCATATTCTAGGTCAAAAAGTGAATCTCCTGGTATAAGTTCAGCCCCTGGAAAACTAGATAAGGAAAGTGTCATCTCTAAAAGCACCTCAACGACAAAGTTGAACAAGAATGGAGAGAGTGGGCAGCCCTGACGAACACCATCAGAGGTAATCAATTCTGATAACAGTTCGCCATAAACTCTCACTCGACCAGTTGTGTTCAAGTAGAGAGCCTTTATAAGGTTAATGTACTTCTTTGGTACTCCTTTCGGTGACAAACACTGTCATAGAACCTTGCGATCGACAGAGTTAAATGCCGCCTTAAGGTCAAGAAACACTACGATTGTGGGGCGTCTGGATGTGTGTCTATGTTCAAGGACTTGTAGTGTGAATATCTGGTCTATGCAACGACGTCCAGGTCGAAAACCAGCCTGGTTTTCTCTAGTCTGTTCTTCACGAGCATTGATTAGGCGTCGAAGTATTATTGAGGCTAATATTTTAGACACCATATTTGTCAAACTGATTCCTCTGTGATTGTCACATAAGGACTTTTGTCCTTTCTTATAGACTGGCACAATCAGTGATTGAGACCAGTAGGATGGGATTATGTCCAGTTCCCAAATTCTACCTAAGACCTCAGTTAATCTCGCTGCTAATACTGAAGGTTATATTTTCCAATGTAACATTATCTCAGGTGAATAGGATTTGTTTAACTGGTGAATTTTGATTGGTTTGATCGTTGTGAACCTTCGTCTAGTGTTATAACTATATTCTTTGTAGTTTTTTATGTGAACTTCATATGTATTTTAAAGTAAAACTGTGTAGTTTTTCATTTATATGATGTTCATTAACATCATCATCATCGTCATCATCAAGTGTGTGTAGAATTAGCATATAAATGAGTGTATTCGGTTGAAAGGTATAATGTTTTACAACTTTTTTGGGTAAGTGTTCATAGAGGGTCAATAAATCTTCATTTGTGCCAGTTCTTGTGTCTTTACTTTGCATAGTTGAATGTGCAACTGTTCCTCTTTCTAAGTATAAACAACAGGACCGCGGATAGAACAGAGTTGATACATACAAAACAGAAGCAACACCAGATATAACACTTCCGTTAGGATGTTATCAGCTTTGATGAATGAACGATGGATGTTATAATTAAATAACCTTGATAGATAACCTTTGTTGAATTGACAAAGGCAATAAAATGTGTGCATTTCTTAAGGTGACTGATACAAAAGAAAATCTTTTATGTTCATAGGCAGTGTACTCTTTTGGAATTCTATAGATTCGACGAGACAATAATTTTGAACGAACCAATCAGATTTGAGATAACAGGTCTTCGATTTTGGCACGAAATTCATCCACTCATTTGGCTAAATAGAGTCTTGGCATTATAGCTGATGACAGTTCGCGATGAAAACTCTAAATCTAATTTCTAACCCTAACCATCAACTGTATATCATAAACCTTATTCTCCAAACTGCTTTATAACCTTAATTTAGCCCTAGTTAGTAGGTAGACACTCTCAAGGTCACTTTCGCGTCGTTCAAATGTCGTCCATAAATTATAGTCTCATTATCTAGAATTCTCAGCACATAGTATTTCAACAAGTTTCCGTTTCTTATTTCATGGTTGTTCGTGACGATTACATATTGAGTGATCGCCAGTTAGATGTTAACAGTTCAGTCAATCGACATCTAAATAATGTACATTCTTTTTGTTGCATATTGCCAGCAACCACAATATCTTTGATTGAGCCCTTTGTAATTTGTACAACGAAAGATTGTACACTTTTCAGAAACTCACCTGAATAGGAAGTTATGCGATGAATAGCTATAATGATGTATTAAAACAAACAATAGGGTTGAATTACTACTTCTATCTTTCGTTAACAGGTAAACAAGAAAAAGGAGACAATAGAAACAAACCCGATCATAATTGAAGATGTGAGTAAATAGTTTAGTACACAATCATATAACCTAATTAACCATTCACTTGGTATTGTTTGGCTTGTATCTTCCCATTGAGGTTTAAAACTGCAATTGATCAGTCTGTTATTGACATATGTGCATACTGTGCGCATGCCTCGATATTGCCTTAATTCACAAGCTTTTTGTAAGCAATGATGGATAGTGGCTAGCAGTAGAATCCAGTTGGACGCGCGTTTCGCCCTATTTGGCACTCGTCAGCTGGATGTACCTGCATCTCAGAGTTGATGTTCACTCTGGGACTCGAACCCTAACTGATCAATTGCAGTCTTAAACATCAATGGGAAGATACAAGCCAAATAATACCAAGTGAATTTAAATTCACTCTATTGCACAAGCAAGTGGCTATCAGGACTCAGTAGCTGAGTGGATAACCCGATGGTGTTTGAAGCGAATGGTACTGAGTTCGAGTCCCAGAGTGAACATCAACTCTGAGATCCAGGTATATCCGGCTGACGAGTCCCAAATAGGACGAAACGCGCGTCAAACTGGATTCCACTGCTAGCCACTATCCATCATTGCTCACTAATTAACCATTATTTTAAAATAGGGTCTTATATTCAAATGAGAAATATATTCAACACTGACTTGATTTAAATCTCTCCATAACTAATATCCTTTTTTTTCTATGATAAAACACTGTTGTATTCAATAAAGTTCAACTATTTTTTTTGTTAATTTGAATCAATTCCTTCTCAATTCCCTGAATTCTAGTCAATCAATAAAGAAAATGGTGATACAAGAGAAAGATGTTCAGAAGAACTATTCAATAAAAGATGTCATACATTGAATTTTGTAAATAATCATCATCAGGATCATTATGAGAACAATAATATTGATACTACCATTAATACTACTGCTACTACTACTACTAATAGTAGTAGTACCAGTAGTAACCATGGTGATTATGATAAAAAACAGGATATAAATAGAAACTGTAAGTATATAATAGAATTAAATAATCATTATTTTATACATCATAAATGTATAGATAAAATGATTCAATTAACTGATACATCTAAATTAATACCATGGCGTGCACCAAGTCGTAAACCATCTGATACTCATCGTTTTAATTATTTTGATAATAATGAAACAATCAAGTTAAAATCTTCTAAAAATGAATTTCAATATCGGTAAGATTAATCTCGAATCGAATTTTTGTTCTTTCCTTTATTATTATTATTAGTATTATCTTTTAATGACCTTGTTGATGGTGTATTTTATGAGTAACAACAACTAAGATCATGAGTCGATTGAAGCTAGACTACCATAGAAAACCTGGAATCACTGGACGGCCGTTCCGTCCTATTGTGGGACTCCTTAGCAGAGTGCATCCGAGACCCTGCTACGTGAGATTTGAACCCAAGACCTCTTGGTCTCGCGTGCAAGCGCTTAATCATTAAACCACTGAGCCGGTATCCAACGGTGTTAATGTCGAACTTCAACTAATCCACGAAATTGAGCGACAGATCCACCATTGTTATCAGTGAGTTACTATCTCACAACTGACCCGGTTGAATTCAACTGGTCACTGCTTTTCACTAGAACTCTAAGATATACATCTTGAAGCCAGTCGTGGATGCACATTGCTGAGGTGTCCCACAGTAAGACGAAACGGCTGTCCAGTGCTTCCAGGTTTTCTATGCTGGTCTAGATTCAATTGACTCATGATCTCAATTATTAAAACAACATATTATCATTGAATTAGTTTCTTAAGTATATTATTTCGTTCAAAATTGTGGCCATGTTTTAAGCTTGAGCCATGTAATATTTTTATGACGAGTTAACATGAAACCATTTAAATGAATTAGACTTTCATCATGGTTTTATTGAAAAAAGATATAGTTATATACATTTAGGAGTATCCAGTACAGTTATTCTGACCCGTTTTACAGGGATACATCTCAGGGCGTGGACGAAACTCATGTACGGCAAACGAATTTACTATTAATACGATTACTGCTGCTAAGCATTCTACACCCAATTTCTGCTAAATGCTATTTATTTCTGTCCGCATAAGTAATGAGTGTCACACTAGTAGATCCAAAATAATAATTGAAGACTGTTATATTTAAGGGGGAGTTGAATTAGTATATCTCAGGTATATTTAGTTACTGGGATTAACTGTTGTTATGTCATCAGGTAATTGTCTGGTTATATTTATTTGTTTACCTAATTAATTGCGCCTGTTACCCCTCATGGAGGAGCATAGGCTGCCAACCACGCTTTCTCCATCCAATCCTGTTCTGAGCAATCATTTATAGTTTCTATTCATCCTTATCATATCTGCTTCCGATTCCCGACACAATGTATTGTTTAGCCTTCCTCTTTTCCGTTTCCCTTCATGATTCCAAGTAAGCGCATGTGTAAATGAGAAAGCTGTCTGCTATAGTTTATGGTTAATTCAGTTGATGAAGTATTTCACATTGTACATGTCATTAACACAGAAAATTGTGACCTTATATGGATGTTTACTTCTTGATTTGTGATCCTGCAAGTTTCTTCATGAATTTCCACAGTAATCATCAGATAAAGTTGTTTTGCTTAAATGAACTAAACTAATCTCTTATAAATTGTAGCTAATAATCTGTCGTTCTTTTGTAGCTGAGCAGGACTTGATTGCCCTTTCGTTTCTCCCACCAACCATTCTTTGTTCTCGTTCTCTTTTCTTTGATCTTTTTAACTTTCTACCCCCACGCATTTCACTTTCGACTGACGATACATACTACTTATATCTGTCAACATAAGTAGCACACACCGCAGTATTATGTTGATTTATTTGCTTCTAAAAATGTCAGTTTGTCTCCTAATTTGTACGATATTGTGAACGTATTTATGCACTCATGGTTATTACTTAAATTAATCTTTCCTGATCTGATTGAAATATTTTATAAAGAAGATCTATATTTCGGACTTTTCGTGGAATGCCCTCTATGTACTCAACTACTTCACTCTCTATGATTTGAATCAACGTAAAAAGAAACTCTCGAAACGTACCTGCATTGTTAGTCAAGTTGTTCTGGAAACCCTAAATAATATCAGCGTCCTCATCAAACAGAAATATGTGATCTGCTTATTGCAGGGAGTTTTCAGAAATGAGTGAAATAATTTGATTCCATGGCTGAAAATGATCAAATCGATTTCACATATTGATATTATGAAGATATGAGGAACATCATTTGAGATTGCTTTTTTTATTAAACTTAATTTAATAAATACTGTAAACAAAATTTACCTTAAACTATTTCTTATCTAAAACTTCGCATGTAGCTCTTCTAGAGTTACTGCCGATCCCAAGCCAGGGTAAAGGAGGAAGGTTGGGCATAGGGTTAACGACCCCGTACCGTATAAAAAAAACTCGCTAAAAAACACTAACCAGAAAAAAATAATTCAAATCATTTAAACTTTGCCCTGAGAGTTAGATAGTCTTCACAATTGATTGATCACTGGGTGGTGATCAATGTCATGCTTGTCTAGTCCTTATTAGTGCAGATCGAATGCTATCGATCATGTCGCAATGTGGCCAACAGTCTAGGTGACTCGACACTGCGACACTATGTATTGAGATTTAGATGGTGGTTGGAGGTAGTCAACAGGAAACCCTGGACCAGGGTTTCGTGCTACTTGGCACTCGTCAGCAAGGTGTACCTGTAATCTTGAGGGAACTGATGCTCCCTGGCGGATTCGATCTCGTGTCACCCAGCTTCACAGTCAGAGACGTTACCACTGAGCTATCCGAGCCGTGACTAACCTCCTGTAGGACTGAGATGGAATCACAATTGATCGATCACTGGGTGGTGATCAATGTCATGCTTGTCTAGTCCTTATTAGTGCAGATCGAATGCTATCGATCATGTCGCAATGTGGCCAACAGTCTAGGTGACTCGACACTGCGACACTATGTATTGAGATTTAGATGGTGGTTGGAGGTAGTCAACAGGAAACCCTGGACCAGGGTTTCGTGCTACTTGGCACTCGTCAGCAAGGTGTACCTGTAATCTTGAGGGAACTGATGCTCCCTGGCGGATTCGATCTCGTGTCACCCAGCTTCACAGTCAGAGACGTTACCACTGAGCTATCCGAGCCGTGACTAACCTCCTGTAGGACTGAGATGGAATCACAATTGATCGATCACTGGGTGGTGATCAATGTCATGCTTGTCTAGTCCTTAGATAGTCTTCATTTAGTAGAGTTATTACGCCTAACAAACAGCGCAACAATTTTTATGGTTACATGGAAACTCCGGACAATGTGGTAGACCGGAAAGACCAGTCAAATAGCAACGGAAATAAGGAGATACAAATTGGCAGTACTGGAAATTTTTTATCTAATGTGTTTTTCTTTTTTGTGTTTTGTTTACAAAAGGTTCAGTAATAGTGCTGGGTCAACAAGAAAGAAGTACTCATTATCATCATCATCATCACCACCACCGCAAATTGATGATATTTACAGTAATGGTATTAATGGTAATGTTCATAATCTGTTTAAGCATGAAACAATACAGAAATCAACATGTCCTAATATTTCAATGTTCACAAGTCATCATAATTCAATCACATTACCTTGGAAACCCACATCTACATATCCTTCTGGAGCATATTATCTTAATACAGAAAAACTACAACCACTACAATATAGTATGATTAAAAAATATTTTAATCCTAATTCTAACTTTAAAAATAGTTCAAAATTCAAGAAAATTGAGAATAATGAACCGCTAAATCATAAACTACATTTGAACAACTCAAAATTGAATGGATCAAATAAACAACTGGATCATGAAATCAATATGGTCAATTTTTCAGATGTATGTTTTCTTTCTAGTTATTTATTTATTTTAACACGTAGATATTGGCACAAGTAGGCACCAAATAGATATGCGCCATATAAATCATTCGATTTGTGGGACGGCTCGGATATTGCCCTGGTCCCCAAACAGAAGCAGGTGGTTTTCTGAGGGGGCACACCCGGAGCCTTCGACCTACAGGTGTGATCCACAAGGCAGTGAAGTAACGTCAGCAGATGCAGTCTCATGGTAGTCAGTGACCAACGATTGGTTCATACACCGTTTGTTCACTCAGGATACTGGAGTCCATGTGCACGGTTGGTTTGGAATCAGGATTTTCCAACTCCCCTAAGTAAATCCTCCATGTCCACCAGGCCGTCCGAAGCTACGGACATTCTCTTTTCGTCCTCTCAATATCTTAAACAACACCCTCATTGAGAGAAATCAGTGAGTAAGACTTCCCTTGTAGAGGCTGTATACGCGTGGCCATGCGAGAGCATTTGGAGAGGGGTAGCTGACTCTCCCCACTTTGAGCCGTACCACGGCATTTGGAGGCTTGATATTGATTTTACTCTTTTTCGTAGTTATCAACTAGAAAATTGCAAATCGAGTTATTTTTAGGTCTAGTCAAAACTATTTAAACCTAAAGCTATTTAATTCGATAACAGATAACTCTCCTTTAATTTAAAGATACACTTTGCCGATGAGCACTAAATGTATGAAACCACTGTCATGTAAAGTTTCTTGTCAATTGGTTCAACATATCTGAGATCTAAACAAAATCCACTACAACTATGTATTACTTAGCTATGTAGTGTTGTTTACTCCGCATTACCTTAGTGAATATTCAGAAATTGGGTATCGCAGTGTCTGATATCCGCTAATCAAATTGTCAATCTTAACGGTGAAAAAAGTTTGGACTCAAAACTTTGTATCCCAACAGCGAGAAACATGTAACGCTTGTATGATTTTGATATGATGGAGACTAATTGTAGCATAGGATTAGGGTTTCAAGGGTGTATTTTTGTCTGAGCTAGTTAATTTAGTCGTGATGTATTTTGCAGTCTTTCTTGACGACATTATCAGCGAAAAATTCAATAAGAAGCGGATTATTATAACATCTTCACAACCGACTAACTACTTGATCTATTGTCCTAGAATTAGGTTGATTGTTGTTCTTAGATCTGTAGTGGTTGTTCGTATATGTGCTTTGATTTATTTCACCACAGACCTACACACATCTATGGACAACAACTAACCGAATTCTAGGTCAACAGAAAAAGTAGTTAGTCGTTTGTGGAGAAGTTCTAATAACTCACTTCTTATAAATTTTTTGCTGATGATGCTTTCAAGAAAGATCATGAAAGCCACCATGACTAAATGCTCCAGCTCAGTGAATAAAACCATATTTAAAATCTTGTATCTGCATTTCATTCCCATCGATGCACATTAAAATACCACATATTTACTCTCAGTTAAACTGTAAATTACAATAAACTTTTGACCCCTATCAATTCAGCTACATCATATTCAAAACAAAGCGGTTATCTCAAGTACTTTCGTAAAGTATGATGACACGTCAACTGTATCACATTTTTATACCGTATGTTTGAGTAGTCTGAATGGAATCCTTTGTCGTCGGACATATGATTGGTTATATTCCTTAGCAGAAGGATGGTGGCTAGCAGTTTAATCTAGGAGACGTTTCAACCTATTTGAGACTTGTTAGCTGGATGTACCTGCATCATAGAGTTGATGTTCATTCCGGGACTCAAACCCTGTACTATTCTCCATCGGTTCATTCACTTAGCTACTAAGTCCAGATAGCCACTGTTTCGTGCAAATAGAGTGAATTTTAATTCATATACACTGATTGCTCGGTTCTTTTCATTGAATAAAATGCTTGTGAGTTAGTAGCAATATCGAGGCAATCGGCATAGGATACACATATGCCAAAAGAAACAGTTCAGTTGCAGTACTAAATATATATGGGAAGATTCGAACAATCAATATATAAAGATTGGTTGTACTCTTTATTCTATACTTATTCATATTCTTCTGCTGATCTATCCTAGAGCCTAACCGGTTTTATTACATTTTCGAATTGGTTTGTGTGGGTATATAATTCTTTTTCGAAATATTGAAGCCTAAGCTAATTTCCTGTAGTCCTTAATTTAAGTTTTCCAGAGATAAGATGCATATATCTACATCCTTCACTAATTACAAGTGAATCCTATTGTAGGTTGTTTAAATGTCTTCAAGAAGGCCATTCCAGAGCAACCCATTTGACCAAATAGCATCTTGGCAATATAGCTGATGATAGTTCGCGATGAAAACTCTAAATCTAATTTCTAACCCTAACCATCAACTGTAAATTATAATCCTTATTCTCTAAACTGCTTTATAACCTTAATTTAGCCCTAGTTAGTAGGTAGACACTCTCAAGGTCACTTTAGCGTCGTTCAAATGTCGACCATAAATTATAGTCTCAACAGTCATATTTTAATTAAAGTTAATTTAGCTCTAGCACTATTAGTTGTTATCGTAATGTCAGATATACGATTATTGTTGATTATTGAGCCATAATCTTTCTGGTAAGATCTTTCATCGCCAACCTATGATTACCTAATCAATACTAATATATTTGAAGCAAAGATAGGTGGTGGCTAGCAGTTGAATCTAAGACACGCGTTTCGTCCTATTTGGGACTCATCAGGCGGATATACCTGCATCTCAGAGTTGATGTTCACCCTGTCACTCGAACTCAGTACCGTTCGCTTCAAACGCCATCACATTATCCACTTAGCTACTGAGCCTTGATAGCCCCATGCTTGTGTAGCGGGGTGAAATTTAAATTCACTTAAATCTCACTATCTATCTTTGCATATAATTCTTGTGAATGAAGATTGTATCAAGGCAATACGCACAGTATGCACATATACCGATAAGAGACTGATCAAGAACCGATTGATGTTAGACCACCTTTGGAAACCAGGAAGCACTGGACAGCCGTTTCGCCCTATTGTGGGACTCCTCGGCAGTGCGCATCCACGATCCCGCTCGCGATATTCGAACCCAGGGCCTTCAGTCTCGCGCCCAAACGCTTAACCTACTTGACCACTGAGCCGGCATCCAGTAGTGATAGTATCTAACATCAACCCATCCACGAAATCGCACACTGTTGAGGAGTCCCACAATAGAACGAAACGGTCGTCCAGTTCTTCCAGGTTTCCAAAGGTGGTCTAGCATCAATCGGTTGATGATCTCAACCAAAAACTTAATAATCTCCACAACCCCTATACTAAGAGACTGATCAACTGCAGTCCTAAACATCAATGGGAAGATTCAAGTAAAACAATAATACTAAATGAAGCTAAGACATTGATTTCAAATTTTCCACATTCATATAAATGAAATCTCATATCATTTAGTATACTCATATATGTTTAATAATAAGTCCTTTTTCTATAATTTTGTTTAAATTAAAACAGAATAAACAAACTTATGGAAAATCGACGGTTTTGGAAGAATTGAATTCTCAATAGTAAACATAGTAATAATAATAATTCTTCACACATGAATATACTACTACCCTACAATAATGAGTAGTTTAAATTAATTTGTAAACTGTAAAACCAATCATGTTTACTTTTCCATACTGAATGAAATATATATTTCCTTTTTTGTTTTTAAAAAAAGTTTGTTTCTTCATCTGGGAATGTGATTGATGATTAAGATTGTGATGATATAATCTTTTTTTTTGAAAACCATTTACATTGAGTTAATTTAGAGAATATCATAGTCGTCCGTGTTATATTTCTTTGTTAGATATTAACACCGTTAGATGCCGACTCAGTGGTCTAGAGGTTAAACACTCGAGCGCGAGACTGGAAGTCCTGGGTTCGAGTCTCGCGAGCTAGATCGTGGATGCGCACTGTTGACGAGTCTGATACTAGTAAGAAATGACCGTCTAGTGGTCTGAGGTTTTCCATGGTAGTCCAGCTTCAACTGACTCATGAATTTAACCACTAAATTCCTTTCGATGAATAAATTTGATTCTGAACATGGTAAAGAAGAATTACAAAACAACGTAAATATACACAAAATATATTGATAATTATGCTAAAAATCATACATTTCTGGATTATGAAAATTAGACGACATGAAACAATGCCCGTAGTGATTATTACTATTCACTCATTTATCAGATATAGATACATATGCTTCTCTTTCAGGTTAGTGATAAAAACTGGTTCATCCAACTATAGTAGGTGACACTTGAATATGCTACTTAGTGACTAAATATCGAACGTTTTTACAATTGACTCACCTCTTCATAAGGAATATTAAAAAGACGAAATACAAAGATATTAATTTGAACCACAGTTAAAGGTATTTTGTAAGTAACACCTTTTTCCATGAAGTTATAACTGGCCTAGTTTACGGAATAGAAGGTAGTAAAAAACTTTATGAATTATATTGCAAACCGACGTTAATAAGACACCTGCTAAAAATCAGGATGCACTGGACAGCTGTTTCATCCTAGTGAGGGACTCGTGGGCAGTGTGCACATCGACATGCCTACCACAGGGTGTAGAGTTGAGGACTTTCACCAGGTTTTGAAGCAAGTGCTTCACATTTGGATCACAGAGCTGTAAAATTTCAATCAGTTTGCTACATCGAGCAAATATTTTACAATATCACTAGGGAGTAACTACCCCATGTTTGAACTTCGTGATGTAAAATATAAATTTCAATAAGCTCCACAGATCTCTCTAAGGCACTAATAGCCTGTGATGCAATCGTCGGCACAGACATGCGATCGTTTTCACGACTAAAGTTTATTTCAAGCTAAAGTTTTTCCAGTTTGGAGGTTTGTCGTATTTACACTGTCGAATTCACGATCCGATCTAAGCTAGAGCACTATTGGAAACCTGGAAGTACTGAATAGCCGTCCCGTTGTAGCATGGGACTTCTCAGTAGTGCGGACCCACGTCTTGGCATGCGGGACTCAGGACCTTCGATCTCGCGCACGAACGCTTAACCTTTAGACTACTGAGCCAGTATCCAACGGTGTTAATGCATGACGTCAATCAATCCATGATCTTGAACAACCCTTCATCCATTGTCTAAGATGGATAACTGTTTCACACCCGAAAAATATCAAGTGAATTATCCTGATAATTTTTTCATATTTAATCATGATGAAATGAAGCTAGATGATCAAATACAATAAAATAATCCATTGAAAACTGAAGAATTTCTTCTTCATTCTCTGTAAAGAATTTCAGTATAATTACCAAGTCTGTCCATCAGAGTGTTGAAAAAAAACCCAGTTAATTGTATAGGTTTTACAATATCAAGATTAGACTGCATTATTCGAAGGTTATTCTTCCATTTGCGTTATAACTAATTGGCATCAGCAGATATACTTACTGAGTTTCAGTGATAACTGAATTCATAAAATAAGACAAGATCATATCGTTTTTATGTAAATAATTCCAATGTTTGTAAGTCTTACGTTAAATGCTAAGAATATGTGAAATCATGAGGCTTGTTCGTATGAAATCGAATGGGATTCAGACCAACACATCTAACCGTTAAAAAGCTAATTAGTCTTTTAATCTGAAATCCCTTTGATGCTGTGTCAGATCATAATTCGTTCCTTAGTCAGAGGAAGTCTCATTAATTGTTTCTATCTTTTGTTCCTCTTCACTTCTTACCTGATTAAACTGATAATTGGTGAAGTTAGGTAATAATTCTAGGATGATTGGGATATGCATTATGAAATTAAGAGCTATATTTGGCCTGATACAAAACTTTTGTCCGTTAGAAGAATTACTTTGTTGGTTGACAAATTAATTCTTGATGGAACTTGAGCTGTTGAATTTAATGGAGACCATTTAAATTTGATGGGACGTTTAAATCGGTTCTTCAATCTAAGTGGAAGTGTCAGTATTAGATTTTCTATAGTTTAGAGAAAATGAGAACTCATTCGTATGAGCGTGAAATTGACATTTTATTACTCGATACGATTATCAGTATCGGGATTACTCTAATTTTCTTGCACACTTTTAGCATAAAATTCATTAAAAATGATTGATTTAGGCGGTTTGTTTACGGATAACATAGAACATCAGCTAACTTCCTAGAACGAAGGTTCGTAATGTCACGGGGTTTTATACAGTGTTCAGTTAAGGGACATTTTAATGAATCTTGATAGATAACTATATCTTTGACTTGGAAAGAAAAAAAAACAGGAAACATCAGATTCTCGAAGCATACAAGACTATTTTAAGACACAGGCTTCCACGTACGTACCATCCTAGTAGGTTTCGTAGATGTAAGCTCTTTAATTAGTTTCAAACTACTATAATTTCTACAAGAGGTTTTTAAAGAAAATTGAATATACCAAGGTGAGTCTGAAGCCCAGTTTAAGTTAATTTTAGTCGTATTCCAATACCTTAGCAACATGTTGGATATTCAGAAACAGTCTTTTTTATACTTAAAAGATAGAAAATTAATGAACGATTCAAACGACAGCTTACAATGAACACACATTATAATTGCTAAACGGAAACAAGATCTGAAATAAATCTGAGTTTAACTCTAGAAACAGGTTAGACTATCGTTCAACAGAAATTTAGTCTTTACTAAATTTTTAGTATGAGGTCGTGGAGATTGTCGAATTTTCATGAAACTAAGTTAGACAACCACTAAATAATCTGGAAACACTAGACGAGCATTTCGTCTTAGTACTAGATTTATCACAGATAGTACTCTGTTTTGTAAATTTTCAGTAAACAACAAAATTCTGTGAATCATTGATAGGCTAGTTGAATTTATTACATATATCATGTACTTATGACCAAATACCATCTCAATGCATTTTACTAGGTAAAAACAAAGCACACAATGATATGAAGCCGATTATTCCACAATGCATCTAATCAACATCTCACTCCACATATCTTCCGATCTCAGTCAGTCAGCAACAACGTAGAACTTCGTACGTTGTTGGGGACGGTATATCCCCTAAATTCATATTTGTAATTTTATCATATCGATTAAATAGCAGTCAATTGACGAACTGATCGATTAAATGGCTGTCGATTGATGAACTTAATGAGTAATGTTTAAAAACATTTCACTATGACAATATTGATTAAAATATATTTGTATAAATACGTTTTAAATTGTGTTTGTGGGCTCGTTTCTGGCTGTTTGCAGAATATATTTTCCATATCAAACTTGGACTTCTCCTTCTAGATAGCGGGGCTGGAACGCATCAATAGTTAGATTACTGGTCTTTGGTCACTTAGTCTTGTTCTCGTTCGTAGATTTAAGTGAACTTGTGAAGCTTTCAAACATAACATACGTACGTACATCAGTTCGAGTTGCCATACCACATTAGCACAGAGATGCAGTTGTCGATTCAAATCCCGTAGTGGTTAGAGGTAGTAAGAGTATAAGCAGTAATCGGAAACATTAGGGTTTGAAGATGTTATTCAAGGAGTATAATCCAGTGAAATAAATTTGGGAAGAGAGAAAAAAAGAAGACTAGGAGGAATCAGGAGATTAGAACTTGGGAGAACACAAACAATGGATGCACCTGCGCCATTGCAAACGATTTTGAGCCATGTCATTCAAGGTCTCTAACTATCGGTTGCTATCATCATCATCATCATCATCATCATCATCCGATCTAGGTTAGAAATATCTTTTATGTGTACTTCTCTAATTCAAAATTGATAGGTTTACACCTTCCTACTAATATCCATCTACCCATTTTATATAATCATTTTAGATTATTATAAACAATGAAACAAAGAAGAGATAAAATCACATCATCAATTAAAACAATAACAATGAGAGAAAGTAAAAAAGAAGCTATTGTAGTTATAAAAAGTTTTCTTTTAATGAAATCAACACAACTTGATAAATGCCTGTAGTAATAAATTAATCTTTCTCAATAAAAAAAAAACAACAACAACAAACAAGAAACGTTCTTATTGAAAGATGCGATAAGACAGCATAATATATATATGAATATACTAGGGGAATAGCATGACGATACGTTAGTAGGTTACTACTACTACTACTTAAAACGAATGAGTAATACATGAATAGAAATATAAAGATAAATGAAACTTGAAAGTGTTATACACAAAGAATATCGAATGGAATGTTGTTCCATTGAGAAAGAGGAAAAGAAAAGTGAAAATTCGTAAACGAAAAAAAGGATTAAACAACAAGAAAATTGTGTGTATACATTCAAAATTATGTAAGAGTAAATGAGCACAAGAGAATTGTAAACAAACAAACAAATAGATATTTGAAAGTCAACAATGAATGATGACATAATTTCATGCATTTTTATTTAACTCTCAATACTTTCGATATTTCTATTCGATCATACATTCGAAATTGTATAAGAATAGTTATGATATATTAAACAAGAGTGACAAGAGAGGGGGGGTCAGAGGTGACGACGACGACGGGCAGATTATTATTATTATTATTATCCCCAGTTAGTTATATAGGCAATGAAGTAACTATTAATAATATGTATAATGGTATAAATCTACCAATACAGTGTGTATATATATTCTCTATCTAGACGTTGTATTGAATAGTACTATACGAATTAGATAGATATATGAACGTAATTATAATCAGTAATGATAATGACAGTAGTGAATGAATAAGACAACTGAATGAATAATGACAATGAATAGAGAGAAAGGATTAAGAAATTTGTTTACAAAGTATCATAATGATCATCATTGCACAATAAGCTAGTTTTAGCTAAGTGGTCAATTATAATAATAATAATAATAACGAACAATGTTCATTTGTAATACAAATAATATTTAACAGGAATAGTGCTGATATATAACCACAAAATAAGTTCTCATCTTAACAACAAAACTAAGAATGAGTTGCACAAAAATAAATAAGAAAGAAAAAAAAGAATCAACAAGTAAGAATAATGAAATTAGATGAATGTAAATCAATTTAGTAACATGATTATATTTCCTTTTCACAGCCAATAACTGAGGTGTACGTACACATGTTCATCATCCATCTATTCATTCATCCGCGCACACACACACACACACACACCGACAATACATGATTGACAAATGAACAAAATACATATCTAAATATGACAATGTAAGTAGAAAACATATGAATAATTCACTGATTGACTGATGCATAATGAGATAGAATGGTTCATCATATCATGGAGTCTTCCAGTCATTCACATTGATCATGTGGACAAAGAGAAGGAAGAGAAACGAAAAATAAACAAACTGGAAAGGTTTCAATATAGTAATTTTGGCCTAAAACGATACACAGCTGATTAATGATAGTTTATGGTCTCAATGTTAACGGGCGTAGCATTTGACGACAAAGTGAAGCTATCAGGGTTGGTGATTGGTCAAAATCAGTTAGAAATGTACAACCAGAGTTTCTGAATGATCGATAAACTATATCATATTTTTCGTCGAATGACACTAGATTAAAAGAGATTAGAGGGTGACACAAAAGTGATGTAATCAGGAAAATATTTAAATAAATACACAGTGTAAATAATAATGTAATGAAGCAAAGAGAACTACACATAATAAACTAATATAATAAGGATCTCAAACAGTCCGATCACAGCTGCTATCTTAATTCGGCGGTCGGGTTCGCATATCATGATGATCTTGTCAAGCTAGACTGACTGGGAAATCTGTTGTTTTTTGTGCTACGACGTCATAAAGTTCGATTGAAGAACCGTATGACTAAAAGCAGAGACTAGGAGTTCGAGGGCGAAGTCACTGCTCACTGTTCATATGTATGACGGCGATAAAATATTCCCCTCAGCCAACCGGAGTTTCCGGCGATGCTACCTTGCCGAAACGGAAGGAGCTAGAAAAGGACGATCCAATCTTTTCCCATGGATTTCCATTGACAGTGACAATGCCTCAAAAGTATGAAGTTAACTAATATACAACCACTTACAAAAAGATTGTGTTCGACCGGCCAATGGTATGAGATTAATTTCAAGCAATGAAGAAATACTATAGTGAACGAAAACTTGATGGGAAAAACCAATTTATTGTTGGGTGCAAAATTACACAGTTGCTTAGCAAAATATGAAAATCATACATTAAATACATTACTTGCACATATTCCAACAGCTATCCTTTACCTACTACATTATTCCTCTAATTCTGTTGTTATATTGATTGCTCTCCAATTACCTTTATGCTTTTTAATACTCAATCTTCCGTTGCCTGACATTCCACTGCCGATTGCGGCTATATACTAATTTGATCTGCAAACATAAGCAGCAGTACAACCTCTGTCTAGTGACTGAATTGTAGTGGATAACAATTATGATGCAATGGAACTTATAGAAATAGTATTTAAATAACAGAGAGAGAGAGAGAGCTGTCGTATAAAAGGTCATTGGTAAGCGCTATAACGGAAACCAAAGGATTTTGTGCATTCCATATCACATCACTTGATACTAGGTTGAGGAAACTAGACCAATAGATTCAATAAATCAAAATACTTGACCTCACTAGACTCAACAGATAAGATCATCATACGCATCACAATAGTCAACCACAGATGTGAGAAAATTGAGATCAACTTTACATAGAGTCTCTAATTAGCCAATCAAAGTTTATTTGCATCCGACACAACAGTTGGGTATGTGATTTTCATTTCTGTCCTTCATTAATTATTTCTTATTTGATTTCAAATATTCTCTGTAGAAACAACAATTTGAATTCGATATCGACATATTTATTCAGTTGAAGGTAAGGCTTAGTGAATAGTCTAATTAATTAACAAGTGATAGAATAAATAAGGTGAATAAAAGTAAACAAACATACACCATGCGTCATTCATGAACAAGAAACTGTGGAACATTACTGTAATAACAAAATTTATTCAGAGCAATACAACTCATCAAGTAGAGATTCGTGTACTTAGCTTTGAACCACACTCAAAATGTAAGGACTAATGATATTATCTGGTTGCTCGAATTAAATTAAGGGGGAGTAGGACGCGAACCTGAAACCTAGTGGTTAAAAGCTGAATACATTTACAGCTTAGTTAGAGCTCCACTATTTCAGATTGGAATGACAACAGAATGGTCAAATGTATAACGTCAATTAGTTATCAACTGAAAAGACGATACAAAAAAGTACAATTATTTATAAACAATTGTCTACATAAGATACTCAATGTCTGTTGACTGAATATCATCAGCAACAGCCTACTATGGGAGAGAACAAACCAGATTTCAGATGAAGAGGGAATTAAGGTGCTGGAAGTAGATAAGGCATACATTATGGAAATCATCAAACTGCATCACGAGCCGAATGTATACGAAAAAGAGAAAGGTCAAATAACATACTACAACGAGAATTTGAAGCAGACATGAAAAGGATCAATAGCGACTGGAAACAACCGGAAATTATTTTCCCGGATAGAGATGGATGGAGAATGCTGGTGGGCGGCGTATGTTCATCTACGAGGGGTAACATGTATAAGCAAGTGAGAGAACGATACGTACATACAATGCTTTATAAAATGACAAGTAATAATAGAGAAGCAAGACACTTACACACATATATAAATAAACACAACTAACAAACATCTGAAGAGGATGACAAAAAAAACCTACTTAGATCCAACGATGTTCGTGACAATGCTTGTACAATTAAAAATAATAATTCACGATAAAGTGAATTTTCCAAACATGCTGCATAACATTCAATATTACCACATCGATTTTGCTGATTTAATTTATTTCGTCTCATTTTAAAATCTCCTATCTCTACTGTAGATTGTAATTGAACATGATTTGTATTGTTTGAATTCAATTGGTTTTTATTTATTTCAGATAATAATTCCGATGTTTGTGTTTGTATTGATGATGGTGAAGTTGTTGCTCCGACTGTTGTTAATGGTGATGATGATGGTGGTGGCGGTGAAAATGTTGTACGTGATTGTGTAATAGTTAATGGTAATGAAGAATTAAATTGTAGATGTGCACGTATTTGTATGAGATATTCTACAGCAAATCGCATATTATCATTTTTAATAGCATTAATCAACTGATCAATAGTTGCATGAATTGAACAACAACTATTCCCATTACTATTTATAGTTTGTGGATTCAAAGTTTCTTGTGAACTGGTCACTCTAACCAAAGACCAAGGTGAATTTTGATCTATAATATACATATATATGTATGTAGGAGATGAAATGATAAATAAAATATTGAATATAACTTTCAGAGATACAATCAAATCAATGCTATACATCGGAACAAAGAATTATAATAATATTTTTGTTATATCCCAATGAGTAAACAAATTGTATTTCTGATGTTTCGTAATTTAATGTAAGCTACTTTTTCAGAGTAAATAAATAACTGACATTATATTGACACAAGTTTAAATAGTCTACTTCTATCCGACACATCTCAGATGAACACTCAATGACTTCATAAACTCATGTTTCATCCTAGTTTGACTACCCTTTCTCCTCCCCTACAAGGTTATGTTGAGTTGAATTCCATTTTATTTTAAATAGAGAATGAAAAAGTTTAAAGGTAATCAATTTTAGTAACAAAAACATACTGATATTAAATTAATCTGGTAACAAGTAGTCAGTTCAAATGTTAACTAGAACTTTCAACAGACATTAATTAGTGAATATTACTACTATAAAATAAAACTTGAATAATATGAAATATCTATGAGGCACTTAATCCTTAATGATTACATGGTGATTTTCATCTGTGTTCTGGTAAATATGTATCATTCAAGTGAATTCTCAAACTTGTTTATGTCTTTAACAGATATTTATGTACCTTCATACTCAGGCATTTGACATTAAATATTCTAATTACCTTCGGTCAAATCCCACTATATAAACTAGAATGCCTGAAGATTTTTTTGTTAATAAAAACTATAGTTGATTGTCAAACTTATTGATTCTACTAACATACATGGTCTACCTATGCAAATGAATCTATTGACTATTCTTACATTGACCTAAAACTAATAAGGCTAGAAAATCAATGAAAGAAGTTCACTATATTTGTAGACAAGACTACGAGGAGGAGGGGTACATTTTAGAGCCCGCCCTATGAGAGATCCGGAAACAAAAATGGACTAGTAGTGTGGTGCGTGCTACTTATATTGATATAAGTAGTATATTATGCGAGTCAGGAATGTAATGTCTGGCAGCAGATGAAGGAAGATGAAGAAAGCAAGAGTGAGAATAGGATTCAATTTGTATGGAAATGCAAGGACAATGAAGTCTGAGGCATTTTGAGACAATTGGTGGACATTTTGCAAATTAGCGATTTGATATATGGTTCTTAGATTTTATTGAGATGCTCTGTAATTTTGTGTCAAAAACATTCAATTGTCCCCACCCGTGTTCTGTTCACTACAGTAGTGACAACTGTACTCATTCCAACAACTGAATCATGAATTAGTCTAGGCTAGACCACTACTTAAAACCTGAAAGCACTGCACGGCCGTTTGTCTTAGTATGGGACTCCTCAGTAGTGTGCGCCCACGATCCCACACGTGGGATTCGAAACCAGGACCTTTGGTCTACACGTGCAAACTCTTAAACTCTAGACCCCTGATCCAGCATCTAATGGTGTTAATATCTAACTTCAATCGATCCATGATCTTGCGCAACCCTTCATCAATTGTCTGAGGTAGATAACTGTCAACTGTGTCAACCAAATAACGTGACTGCAAAGTCCAAGAACCGAGTTCAATTATACCTATTAGAGAATGGTTTTTAGTGGACTGCCTACTGTTTAAACCTTTCAGTTGGCACCACGAATCCATAGGGACTTTGCAGGCTGACATTTTAAGATCGACCTTCTGTCGGTGGAAGGAAATTATCTTTAAAAATGTGGGTTAACCAACACAAACATCAAAATAATGAGACATTGTAAGAAAGTTCGCAGTATGAATTCCCCTTCGGACCAAGCCATATTATTTGCTTGTGACGGTGGAACATTAATGAAGCGTTTAAGGCGAAATAAGTCAAATTCTATCATAATGACAGGCATGAACAATAATCACCAAATTAAGGTTGGGGGCACAGTTGGGAAAATGTATAACAGATCCAAGTTTAATATGCTGTCTTGTTATATTTCTTTTAATTTTATATCATGAATTGTAGTTAACTATCTGTTTCAAGCCATAAAGGTGCTTATATTACTAGGAGTTTTGTAGAGATGGTCAAATTTTTACACTTTACATCAGGGACTGATTTTAGTTAGGGAACCATTGAAAATGAGGATGTACTAGACAGCGGTTTCGACCCGGCATTAGACACCTCAAGAGTGCAACATTGCTCACTATACCACCGAGGAAAGAATCCAGAACCTCTAGGTTTTATTAAGAGCGCTCAACATTCACACTGCTGAGTCAGAATGAGATACTCTTCATGTCTAACATCAATCTCCCCCAAATGCCCTGGTACGGCTCAAAGTGGGGAGAGTCAGCTACCCCTCTCCAAATGCTCTCACATGGCCACGCGTATACAGCCTCTACAAGGGAAGTCTTACTCACTGATTTCTCTCAATGAGGGTGTTGTTTAAGATATTGAGAGGACGAAAAGAGAATGTCCGTAGCTTCGAACGGCCTGGTGGACATGGAGGATTTACTTAGGGGAGTTGGAAAATCCTGATTCCAAACCAACCGTGCACATGGGCTCCAGTATCCTGAAGGAACAAACGGTGTATGAACTAATCGTTGGTCACTGACTACCATGAGACTGCATCTCCTTACGATGCTCCACTACCTTGTGGATCAGACCCGTAGGTCGAAGGCTCCGGGTGTGGCCTCCTAATAAAATCACCTGCTTCGGTTTGGGGACCAGGGCAATATCCGAGCCGCCACACAAATCGAATGGCGAATTGTGGCGCATATCTATTTGGTGCCTACTTGTGCCAATATCTATGTGTTAAAATAAATAAATAACAAATTCATCAATCACTTAAACATATAGAACGATAAATAATTGTCTCGCAAGGAGCATGACTGAACTGCACTAGTTACGGCTTACAACCAGAGATTCTGGAATTACCCATCAAAGTTAATCACTAGTGAACGCATGACTACTATTACTAGGAGAGATTTGTGGAGATTGTCAAGTTTTTATAGTTTTTACATCAGAGACTTACCTTAATTACACAACCAGTGCAAATCAAGAAACACTGTATAAAAGACTAATGCTTACCTGAATTTCTAAAATTGGACCAATATTTATACAATGAATTTCTCATAACGCTTCGTACAGGATGTGTTGCATTCCAACGTAATGATATATATACAGGTAAATTGGGGGATAAATGAACTTGCTATTATTTTTAAAACAATGAAAGATAGAAAAAACAAATAATTATACTTTCAATGTCATTTATGAAAACTGACAATTTAAAAACATGACAAGTACAATACATTATCCGGCTTTCCTGAAAAAAGAAGTCCAATAATCGAACACCTTGTAAACGAAGGTTACTTAATCAAAGAGAATTCTGCGTTTAAAGTCATTTACAAGTTAAGTAAAAAGCTTCCAAAGGAAATTAAATTTTACATCTACTTAGCATTGTCGAATCACTAGCTATACATCTGGAAAAACCGGAATGTGTCCAGAAGAAAGTGGCACAACCTCTTCTTCTACCATGGTCTTAATCTCGCAATTTTTCTTTCTTCCTCATACTTTTTTCTTTCACAGATATTTACTTCCTTCTTATCTTGTTTATAGACCTTTTACCACTAACTGATTTGTTTCTATTGCTAGGATCCTTCAGACTGCAGTTCATCTTGATTTCAAAATTTTATCTTATCACGCTGGGCCTTCGCTTCTCAATTATAATCTCCCAATCTATCTTCATGATGAATATTGAAGATTATTCTGTTTAACTAATCAGATATGATCATATGTGAAAATAAACTTCTCTAATCCACAAAAAGTCAAACCACTTCTGTGAAGTTGAATTAATGAATATGTGTCTAGTTTAAACAAGGAAAACACATTGGTCAACCGACGTTTTGGAAAGATTACATTCAGCGGATGTTAAGAAAAAGTGTAGTGAGTAAAAATTTAGTGATCGATATTATGAGAAACGATTAGCCAACCCACGTCATATTTCTCTACCCAACTCACGTATACTCTTTTCAGCAATCGCTAGTATTCTAAGCTTCGACAGGCGACGTTAACCTTGTAGTTGAGGTCAAAAATAATCCTAGTCCCTATTGGTCAAGAATGTATGCCTTTCTTCTGGTCCAATCTTCAATACGATAGTAGAACATGGCAAACCATGGTATAATAGTATATACATCTCAAACACTTTAAGTTTACATGAATTTGACCATCAGAATGTAACGAACTTCAAATAAGACATTATATTTCAAAACACAATCATACGATAAGTATCAGAGGACGGAACAAACGATACATTATTCATTAGCGATCATTATAAAGATAATAACAACCGATGAGTCCCAAATAAGATAAAAAACGCGTCCTGGATTTCACTGCTAGCCAACAAACATCTCTGTTTATAATGCTTGAAGGTTTAGGGCAATATCGAGGGGATCCGCATAGGATGCACATATGTCGATAAGAGACTTATCAAATACGGTCCTGAAAACATCAGTGGGGGGATGATTCAAGCAACCAATACGAGAATAAAGTAGTTGATTGGTTTAAAGAAAGCTCACAATACTCGTCTCTTCCTCAAGCCTTTTTAACAACAATTATTTCACAAAACCTAAAAAATTTATTTCGAAAATAATCTGTTGTATCCCGACAAGGATAATGAATGGTAATTTTTGGGATCCATTTATGGACCAACATTATGAGTATATTTTTATCGTATAATTGTTATGTAACTAAACTGTTCGTATTCATATCCTTCTTATTATAAGTTTTGATTTGACCCATAGACTATTACTATACGATTTACCATTCATGAATTATTCCGTGTCTGTTAATCGCTACCTCCCTCATTCACAGCCACGTCTGGATAATTCCTGTACAAATGTTGTTTCATATTTTATGAGTACTTTGTGGTCGGTTCGTTTGGTAATATAAACTCAGTATGCTTGAAATATGATGATTCATATCTCAGAGGCTGAGACTTGCGTTCTGGACTCAACTAGCGGGGCTAGACAGGAAGCGAGACCAATCAGAACTCTAGGCTGTTCTTATGTGTTTTACGCGTCTGGTCCGATCGATAATACACTGTCGTCTAATCTGCAATCACAAGATATAACATAAACAAAATTTATATAATAACAAAAGCATAACTTACATAAAGTGCATCAGTAAATATAATTGAATGGTTATTATGTATTTGCTTATTATTACAATTACACTGTTGTGAACAATGATGATGATGCCGATGAGTATGTGATGGATTTGTTTTAAATTTAATACGTTGTTCAATTTGATAATTCATTATCCATAATGGTAATGAATCTAATAAATATGTTGGTAAACCTAAACGATACATTAACCATACTAAATTCCATGTTAATTGAGTATGACGATGTAATAAAGAATATTGAATTGATTGACAATGTAAACATTCATCACCTTCATTTTGAATAATAGTTTCTAAAGATTTTCTAATGACAAATGGACTTAAATAAGAAAACTGAGTAAAAGAAAAACAAACAGGAATATATGAGAATATACTAAACTGAAACTGTAATTTAACGATAAATACATACATTCAGCTAAGTGACTGTATTGACGACGGATAAAACACACGGATGGTGACGGCAATAGAAATCAACAGGGGCTATACAACAGTTTTTGTTTATATACTAAATGATACCCTATAAAAATGTCCTTAAACATCGTCACTACCAGCAAAGACTGGGATTAAAACCAAATGAGGAGAAAATCTATCAGCAAGTGAGAATCAAATTCAATCTATGTAATAACTTCAATATGATCGCCAACTCAAAACAAACTTCCAAGTTTTGATATATAATTATCGGAATCACCAGCCAATAAAGAATTGTTACCAAGATGGTGACTGGATCGAGGATGACACAATCGGCAATTACAGAATGATATGGGTTAACTTGATTATTAATTAGTGGACTTTAAAAAAAAAAGGGGGGGTATCTTGGTATTCTCCCAAAAATATTGATCATTGTGACCTTTGCAACGATGCAATGTTGCACAATCCTCGTCTAATCTTACTGGTTACCTTGTTTTGTAAAATACTAGACATACCGATGTTACTTATCATTTGATTGTTTTTTTCTAGAAAACAAAAGGTATCTTATAAAGTTTGAATTCGGGAATTAAGTTACAGAGTTCAGGATTTACCATAAGGAAACATAATAGACAAACTACAAAATACGATTTCAATTGTACATGTAAAATTATAACGACAAATTCCAAGTCGTAATTCTAACTTTAATTCAAATCCTAAGGTTTACATCTTGACCCAAAATTCTAGCCTTAGCATAATTACTATTCTGTGATTGACTGAACAGGGTCTCGGTTTTGAAAATCTTCTTCTTCTAAGTCGACGTGATAGTTAAATCATGGTAACTAGTTCACTGAAATTTGTAAGTTTTGTTTTGAAAAGTGTGTATTTGTCAATCAGACGTAAGTGGAATCTGGCATATCTGTATATAGGTTGAAGTTACTATACCCTATTAGCACAAAGAAATGAAATTGTCAAAATAAATCCCAGAGTAGTAAAGATAGTAATAGTATTAATGATAATGGAAAAGGTCTGACAATTTAAAAACTTGTGATCTGAGTGAGGACATAGAATGAATACATCAGCGTTACTCATAACAATTTTCAGTCATACCAACACACATAATCTCTAATCATTGTTTATAACAATCAGATGAACCCTAATCTTATAATCTGCATCTGCCTATATCATCCCATCCAATAATCAATATCTTTATGGAGACAAAGGTCATGTTTTGACTTGGTCACCATTAACTTTCTTCAAAAAGGTATTGTATTTTATAACAATCATTATTTGGGATAGTTACAAGAATAGAATCAATCACAACTATACATAATACAAATAATAACAATAGTAATGATTAAAATAATTAATGTTACAATTAAAACTTACGGTCATTTCCATTAGACCCATACTGAATGATAGTGAATAGTGTGTATACGTTGATAGAACCATGTATAAGTTGTATAGAAACAGGGAATAAATGAATTTATCCAATTTGTTTTAGGGATTAAAAAACAAACAAACAATCAAACAGAAATAAGACAAAGAGAAAAATTTAAACAGAAGAAGAAAAGTTTAAACTAATGAATACTTTCATAATTCACAGTGAATTCCCTTACAGAAAATGAACTTCATTTCAACTTAGTACATACATTCAATGTATTCAATCAGCTACAACGTAAGACCAGGCATATATATATATATATACCGGTCCAAGATACCATATACCTCATCAGCACAACAAGATGGTCACCAAATTCATAGAAGCAGTTACTTCAATGGTAACACTCAATGCAGATATTTCTTTGTCTGTTATTGAATAATAATGAAAATTGGAGGTAACAAAAAAGAGTAGCTATCGGTTTTTAATAGTGTTAAAGATCATTTTGTTGAATTACAGCTAGTAGAGAAACACTTTCACGTGCTTGGCTTTCCTCTAAATATTAAATATAAAGGCTGGTGATATTATCCAGTAAACCAAACTGGAGTGGTACGAGGTTCGAGACTACAACTTAGTGGTTGAAAGTCGAGTGTTTTGACCAATGAGCTGCCTATTTATCTACCATAAAAACACATTCAAGTAGCTATATACATAAGAAAACGCATTAACAGATCTAGTTTAATTATCAATATTGATTAGTAAGTACTTTGATTGACGTTTATGAATTATTGTATTTCAACGAAGGTTAGATAGGTGATTCAAAAGTTGGTTCATATGATTCAAAGAAACTGAACAAAATCATTCAACGTCTAACCATTCATAGCGCCTACCTCAATGATGTAGTCTCCATCTAATAATATAGCATAGACCAACAATTATTGATTTCATATATATATATATATATATATATATATATATATATATATATATATATAAACAACTTACGAAGTACTTTGCATTGGTGCTGAGGTGCATGATTTAAATTGAATTGATTCAGTTGAATCATTTCTATCACACTGAAGATTGGACGGATTATTCGACGACTGAGAAAAAGTTGTACGTAAGTGTTGTTCTCTTGACTGTTGACGTTGTTGTAATTTTGTTGACTGATTATAAACACCACCTCCAACACCTCCACATGTATCACCAAATATACGTATTGACAATTGTGGTATAAAGTAAGTTTTACAAAATGGACAAAATGTTCTATAATCATTTTCATCTGTAGACCAACCAGCCATTATCTCTTCATCATAAACATAATGTTTACACTTTGGACATGTGGAACAAGTTGTGATGAATACATTCAAATGAGTAATAATATTATTATTATTGTTTCCATTAACGTTAGGAAGTTGGCTACCATCTGATATTGTTGTCGATGTGGAAGAAAAAGATGGTGATGATTCTTTATTACTATTGTTATCACTATGGCTAAGAAGCCGGGATTGTGATTGGACAGTTGGTGTAGTGATTTTTGAAAATAAACAAGAATCACTAACTACTGAAGTTGTTTGATGATCATCTGGATTCGAAGTCAGCTGTTGTGAAGCAATATTTGGAGTTGTTATTGTTGCTACTGTAACTGGTATTGAAGTGGTTGAATTATCTGAAAAAAAGGTAAATAGTGTCATTCTGACTGAGTTTCGATCCGTCTTAACCGGCATAAGTGTACCCTGTGCAAGTTGCCTCAATATAGTCATTATGACAAAAGGTTATATAGAATAGATAAGACGTGGCTAGTAACAGAATCCAGGAGGCACATTTCGTCGCATTTAAGACACATCAGCCGAGTATACGTAGGTTCCATGACTGGTGTTCTCAGCAGGACTCGAACCCAGTACCGTTCGTCTCAAACGCTAATGCGCGATCCACCTAGATACTGATATCAGATAGCCATTCACTTGTGCAATGGGTACGAATTTTAATGTATATTGTGAGGGGTATCGGAATGCTAGATCTGATTGATCCTAAAGAATGAATGAATCTGAGCCATTGTGATTGATTCTGAGCCGTCCCAGTATTTGTTGAAAAACTAAGGATTGTTAAGTTTGTCTTACATTGTTCCACTCGCTCCCTTTCCACTCTTTTCTATATTGTTTTGTACTACTTATTTACATTCAGTAAGCAGTTGTATTCCCAACAATTTTACACCTACGTTGTGACGCAAGTTGTAGTGTGATATTCTAAATGTTCACATATACTTATTACGTTTATTGTACGTATCATCGTATTTATCATTTTAATTACTGTACCTTAATCACTGCAGCGGTTATCCACAGTTTCGTGCATTTGTTTAAACGCAACAGTTTCCATATTGTTTTGCTCTTGGTTCTGGTTTCGGATGTATATAAACTGTTGTCAAATATAGACACAGGTATTAGCTGTCCTTTGTATTATCGTATGTTGTAATTATTCTTTATGTTACTGTTACAGGAAGCCTTTTTATTTCATACTTGAAGGACGCGTTTAAACGCCCCAGACACCTCACAGGTTGAGGTTTGTAACTAAATTTTGTGTATTATTGAATAAAGAACCACTATTATAGACAAATCGTTGTTTTGGAACTTCGGTTTCGCGTGTATCTCAATCGGGCGACCTAGACGCTTCGAAAGATCTACTAAGGATTGAGCGTTATTAGATGGATCTCAGCAACTTCTTGGTAATTTATGTACTAAATTGTTAACCGAACCAACTTTGTTATGTAGCACTCGCATCCCGCTAGCTGTGCGAACAGACCTTAAATAAGTGAAGCAATTATCTAAAACTTGTACTTCAATTAACATCACTTCCTATAATTTCGAAAGGTCATAATGGAAATTATTTGCGGTTAGATTCCATCAATTGTCGATATAAAAACTGAAATGAAGTTGCAACATGGAAGTACTTGAACGATCGGTTGAACAATAGGAGATTAATAAATGAAATTTATTATAAACAATCGTGGACTTTAATGAAGCATTCAATTTAATTAAACTAGACGATAATAGCGAATTACCTGAAGAACACTTACCATGCTTTGGTGTTGTTAATCCATGATAAGTATTATTCAGTGTTGGGATAACATGAGATGATTCATTTTGATTGATATAAAATGATGGAGCTGGTACCGATAATGGTGATGTACTATTGTACATATACTGTTGGTATAAAGACTGTTGCAAATGTATTGTACGTGTATTGGCAGGTGATATACGCCGATTGACATCGCCAACCAGTAATGGACCAGCGACATTGATCCACATATCATTCAGCGAGTTTGAATCATCTACGTGATTAGCTAGATGAAAAAAAGACAAGCATTTATATAGAAGTTTTAGCTTCTTTTTTCATAATATTTTAACAATATTATGTCATCTATATTGAGTAGTGATACGTTTGCTACTGCAATGCTTATTACTGATTTCATAGCCATGTTCTATAACCTTAGACTAATTCCACACTTCAACTAGGATCATAGAGAAAAGATTAAGAGCTCATGTGACCCTTGACTTCTAGATTTATCTAGAAACGTGCCAAGTCTAGCAACGGAAGAGGCAATCGTCCAGTCATGTGATTCTTCATTTTTCTAGATGTTTTTGAGTAGCTTCTATTTGGTGCTGGTTGGATAAAACATTTCCTGGCATATTTTGTGTTTTTAGAGACTTTATCGAAAGATCATTTGTGACTTCTTAACTAATAAATTGAGAAACTATCATCCTACAACGTTGATTGTAATCTTTTGATATGTCGATACTGATTTTATGAAGCACTGTCAATTGAAAGGTTTTTAGTACATACGTTCTAGAGGATCCCATATACCTATGTGTAAGTAACCTATTTATCGTCTTGAAATGACGAATATCTTCATAGAAATGAGAGAACGAAACCGGACAACATCAGGTAATTACCTTCTTTAGCTTGGATACCCAGGGCAGTATTAAAGCTTTAATATTAATTATTACTATCATGAAAGAAACGAAAATCCTGTATCGCTCTCCCTACATGTAAACCTTTATCAGTTATGAAACTCACAAACTAAAGTAATTGAATTCAAACCAATAATAAACAAATTAATAGATGGATTGAACTACAATTCTGGGTTCGACATCTTCAGGAATTTTGTAAAACAGGAATGTATTGTTGAAGGAATTCAAAAAATAAACCAGAATACGAGTATATAATATATTGCCATTAACATACTACTAATCTTAAATTAGTTAGACTTCAAAGATAATGAGCAGTTAAGGGTATTTACACTGACACCATCAATCTTAAGTTGTATCAGCTAATATTTTGAAGAATACATTATCAATAAGTTAAAACAACAACACTTCATACTTGAATGAACATTATTTCTTGTATTGATTGTATTCAATATATGTGCAACTCTTGGGCAACTTTACTTCGAGCCTTGATGCACAATAGAATGGTTATACATGTTGACAATTACATTAACAAGTACATACATACATACATACACACACACTGTCACATACTTTCGCCATAATATTACACACGTTTGAACTAAATATTGTTTGTTCCATAGAGTTCTCATGAATTATTACCAACAACGAAAATAATAAACTTTTACTTACTAAATAAAGTCGAAATTCAACAATGTAATCTTGTAATACTAATTGTCTTACCTGAAGAATGATACTCACATTCATAATGATTTGACGAAACACTATTTAAAGCATTATTAACTTGTGGAAATTGTCTAGTTAATTGATAATTACCATTACTATTGTTATAATAATTGTCATAATAATGATCATTCATATCCAATAATCTACTATTCATTGGATTTACAAGATATCCAGAGTCTGATAGTTTATGTGTATTAGTAAATGGGATATTATCAGAAGATTGATTATAAGTTGAATCAGTATTTTTCATTTCTATACATGATGGTTTAGACCATGAAACACGTGAAATACGTTCACTTTGTGGTTGATATTGTGGTGGTAAAGGATAATATTGATTTTGTGGTTGAATATGACAACCTCCATGTTGATTAGTTAAATTTGAACCTGTAAAACAATTTGAAGTAGTTGCACGTCTTCCTGATTGTGGAGTTGGATTTGTGGATAAACTTGGAATAAGAGAACGCCAATCTAATAAAGATCGATTCATATTGATACGATTGATAAAATCCGATGTAGATCTATTTCATGATAAAATGGTATAATTTGATTTTAAGATTATTATTGAATTAATAAATTAATTAAACACTCGTATAAAAACAAATTACAATAGGCTGCCCTGTCCCAGGAACAACTATTTCTGAACTCGAAAAATATTGATGGATAACTGTTATGTAACCACTGATCATGTGAAGGTATTACTTGGATTCAAAATACCAAGAAAGAGAAAATCAGTTCATGGAATTGAGAATATCTGGCTAGGGTCAAATATATTTTAGCAACTACTGTCTTTTTCAACTATCCAATCAGTCATCTCAATTGTGCCTAGTGAATGAATAACCATATGATGCAACCAAGTGCAGATTTGTGTGTAAGGTTCTAAGATCTGTTTATTTTGTTAAGGATAGAAATACATTGGTCAGATGCACTGATTACAGGACAACATACTGACGCGATTATTATGGAGTAGTATCTTGTTTTCGTGAATCTAGTACAATAGTAAATTAAACAAAATGCAAGGATAAGAGAAGTGTAACTGATGTGAACGAAGGGAAAAGTATGTGCTCTATTGGTGACTACATAGAGAATCAAGTATTAAACTATGAATCACAGATTTTTGGAAAGTTAACATTACTATCAATTTCTTTTAGAAAGAAACCGTGATCAGTGGGGCTAATCCTTATAGGATATGACTCAGTTACCCACCACAAACAATTGAAGATCGTCGCTCAGTATATCGTGGATTGATTAATGTCAGACATTAACACCGTTGGATAGCAACTCAGTGGTCTAGAATTTAAGCATTTGTGCGCGAGACTAAAAGCCATGGGTTTGATTTTTACGTTCATGAAATTGAATGTCCACTGCTGAGGAGTCCCATACTAGGACGATTATATTTTTATTGTACGATTATCGAATACTTGAACAGTTGCATTTTTATATTCTTGTACTTGAAAGCTTTAGTTTGATTCATAAATTGTTTCTATATGCGTTCCACTGTTCCGGAATTATCATTGATTAATTACTCCTCCACACTACTTCGCTCTGCACCACTTTTTGATTCAGTTGCGTACACATGGTGATTTTCTATGTGTAGTACTGTGTGATCAAGTATTTAGTGTATATTATCATAAGACTTTTGGAGTTACATTGATAATAAACAATAGAGTTAGAATCTATTTCCCAAAATCATCTTAATCAGAAACTGGGTTACAAGTAGCATGTTGACCAATACGTGTTAAAATTTTGGTCGTTTCTTTTCATTAGTCATTGATTTGATAAACATAAAGCGAACAAGCACAACAAACCAACATTAAAATACAACTGCTCTTATAATTATTCTACTCGAATGAAGACGTCTCGACAATGGTAAAGAGGTTTGTCTTTTTGAAAAAAGTGAATAATGAACAGAATAATTACTATCGATAACTTCGTCAGGTTCTCTACACTAGAATATGTAAAAGAAGAAGATTGTTTATTCTAACAATTCTTTATTTCCTGGAGGAATTTTAAATAATGTCATGTTTTTTATGACACTTACCTATTAAAAAAGTTCAATGCATTATGAACAACTGAAACTTTGGTCTGTGCATTAGCATCTTCATTGTCTTCGTCGTTGTCTTCAACATCATCATCATCATTATCAACATTATTATTATTATTATTATTATTATTATTATCCACAAGTGTAGCTGTCAAATTTGAATTATCATTAGTAGTAGTAACAGAAGTGGTAGTAGTGGTAGTCGGAATACTAGTCATAATATTTTGATGATGCGCTGATTGTCTTATAACATTAATTGACGAAGAATTATCATCAAATGATTGTCTAGATGATTTTGAAAATAATAAATGTTTACTATCTCGAGTCACATCTATACTACTATGATGTGAATAAGGAGTACGATGATACGACGACGGATTATGAGTGGTAGTAGTAGTAGTAGCAGGCGAAGTATTATAATGTTGAAGGAATGGACGTTTGATTTTTGATAGCGCTGATGATAGTAAATTATATCCGTAATGAATGTGTTCATTTTCAGAATCTTCATCATCATCTGCGCATGAATCATCATCACTGAGATTGGTACCATTACTACTGCTACTACTATTGTTGTGATCATTAATAACGTCAGCTGAGGCAGAGACAGACTTAACAGTGTCAGGAGCACTAATATGATTCTCCACTATTGATGAAGGGTTTTCCCTTACGTGTGTTACATTATTTTCATCATCATTACCAATAACTATAGTTGGATCTGATTGTTCAACATTACTCAAGCTTGATGTCTGAAGACAATTTAAACTGGAAGAAGGTATAGATTGGCCGACAGTATTTGAACTGCAACCTGTAAAAGATGATAAATTACCAGATAGAATATATATCTATATCTATATATTTGGATAGAAAGACAGCAAGAAAGAAAGAAAAATCCCGACTACTAGTCAGTTCCATGACATCAACTTGATTTTAGTAAAATGAGTTTAACTAAGTTGGAATTCAAATCATAATGAGTACTGTATCGATATAAAAGACGATATAAACACGGTAAGATAACTGTCTCAAGAAATAGTTGATAGTGAATATGTAATATAACACTTCTTAATGAATCTTAGCGTAAAACTTTATTTAATCTAAAAAATTTTAGTAAGCTATTTTGTTCTGAACTGCCTAGATACGCCAAAGGGCAAAGAGAATCCAATATTTTTTTCGAAATGCTCTTAAAGGCCCGTGCATTTTTAGCCTATGACAGAGAAGTGCTACTAACTAACTTCACTCGTCCAGAAGTGTTACTTATGAAAGTGAGAGGACAAAAATGCCGACGTTTGACATGAAAACCGGACTAGATATGGTGGATTTATCTACGAGAGTTAGGAAATCCTGATACTAAGTAGTCCGTATACATGGTCTCTGTGATTCCGAGGTAACGATTAGTGCATGAACATATTCTTGGTCATTGGTAATCATAGAACAACATCACCATGCGTTGCTCCGTCGCTAGCGGACTAAACTTTTATGGTTAAAGGCTCGAGGAGTGGCTCCCTAAGGAAATCATCTGCTTTGGTTTAAGACCCCTGACAATATACCTATATGTGACGCACACTATTTCAGAACCCCAGGTGTATCAGATCCTATATCAATTAAGAAAACAAAATGATCAACTGTACCCTTTGACGGAATAAATCATATAAATAATACGTTTGTATACTAGAAAAACACCGTACTAGTTATGTGTTCTTTTGACTGTGAACTGTGATGACATAAAGTGTCGTCACCGTTACCAATAACAGATGATTCTTGATGATTTTCTGTTAATTCTTGAATTCGTTGATGTTGTTCCATTGGAAGTGGATGATTATCATCGGTTGAAACAACACATGACATCGAATCATTGTTGATATTTGTAGATTGGTCAACAACAGGTGACCAGTCTTGATCTGAACTTGTCTTATCTTCATGTATATTCAACGTTGAATACCCTTGATCAGTAAGATCATCAGATGAATTAAACGGTTGAGGTACTATGACGCCAGCTACATTCAATAAAAAAACACTTTATAGCATAACAAGATTAACACCGGATTCATAGAACTAGTTAATTCAGTGGTGGTAATATATAAAAGAAAGATTGCATATAACGATATAGTGCAGGAAGAAAGAATTAGTTCGCAGAAAGAAAGATATGAAGCTATTTTAATCTCTTAGTTTAAGTGAAGACAAAGAGTGATCGATTCTGAGCTATGTCAACCACAGTCTCCAAACATTGTTTACGATAGTCACGTGGACCCCAACCAAGTAGTCTGCATCTACCAACATGGGTCATACCAGAAGTTAGTGACTTCAAGCACTGATGCCACGTTTTGGTTTGGCCACCCCTAACTTTCTTCCAACCATCCACAACACTAGTCAGCATTGAGCGTCGTGGTAATCGGTGTTCAGGCATACGTAACACGTGGCCCAACCATCTCAGTCGATGAAGATTCACAACCTCATCAACTGATTTACCATCGTTCCCTAATACCCTGCGTCTAATCTCACTATTACTTACCCGGTGATCCCAGCAGACGCCAGCAATATTTCTAAGGCATCTGTGGTCAAATACTAGTAACTTACGAGTGTCTTCTACTCTTAATGGCCATGTTTCGCTGCCGTAAATTAAAACAGAACCAACTGCCGCGCAGTATACTCGCCGTTTTATTAATAGACGGATATTTCGCCTTTGCCATAGGTGACGTAAGGTGGCAAAAGCCAAACGAGCTTTTCGAATCTGTGCTGAAATTTTTACAGACACCAACCCATTACAGTAAAACTGTGTTGATGTTCGTATTGAAGATTCTGACTCTGATGTTGTCTGACGGTTGTTTTGAGTTCCATATGTTCTTCAACTGCAGGAATGTAGTCCTTGCTTTGCCAATTTTCGGCCTTACATCTGCATCAGATCCTCTTTGTTCATTGATGATGTTGTCCAGGTACATGAAAGTTTCCACCTCTTTCAGAGTTTCTCCATAAAATGTGATTGTGTTGGTGTTCTTCGTGTTATATTTAAGGATCTTGGTTTTTCTTATATGTATGCTTGGGCACATTGATGTAGCAGAAGCTGTTGTTACATTAGTTGGCTTCATCTGCATTTGTTGGTGGGTATGCGATAGAAGGGCCCGACCGCCTGGGAAGTCCTAATTGGTTCCGAGCTGTCCATTGTATTCCGTGCTTCCCCTCAGATGTGGAGGTCTTCATAATCCAGTCAACCAGAAGAAAAAGAAAGGGTGATAGAAATCCAACTGATATATATTAGTTACTTATAAACCAAGAAGGAACTATTATAAATATGCACTTGTTCAAGTTAGGATAAAATAATATATATATATATATCCACAAAGGACGCACATGTATAATAAAGACTGGTCAAAATTTAACCTTAACTATCGACAACGGGATAATCCAGTTCATTTTTAATAATAATATAAACATTACACATGTTGAACATGTTAGTAGCTATCTGAACTCAGTATCTCAGTTGATAACACATTAGATATTTGAAGCGAAAAGTACTCGTTCCACGTTTCAATATAAGTATCATACTAGGATACAGATATATGCAGTTGACGAGTCCGTAATAGGACGAAACGAACACGATGAATTATATTGCTAACCACAATTCATCTATCTAAGTTTATTAAAACCACAACAATCCAGATACAACCTGACAATAAAATGGTTTTTTATATATGTATAAACGAACTTGTATTTTCAGAACTATTAATTTGTGTAGATGGATTCAGTTCAGTATCGGCAGAAGCCGAACGACGATGACTATGATGTTTAGATGTGGACATCAAACGTTCGTTTTCCAATCTTTCGTGTTCTCTCAGCTCTTTCTCAAATGCTTTGTAAATCTAAAAAAATGTTGAAATATTGAATTACTATCTGTGATAAGAGAGAGCATAAGTTTAGCAAACCTTAAAATAGAATTAGACTTATAGTTACGGAAAAAAAACTTATTTTTCTACACTTCAGCTTTAAAAGTGAAGAAATTACAGGGTTAACCAACTGTAAAATGTATTATGATTAAAAGTGACCACTTTTCTCAACATTGCAGAAACTTGACAATGGATCAACAGAGGTCACGTTGTCAACATTTTAAGTTCAAGTTTAAAGAAATGAAAAAATTCTAGAAAAAAAAATTATGCAACTTGCATCTATATGCTACGTGAGAGTAGCTAATTAAAGATTCAAATAAAAACTTGTGGACTAAAAAGGAGACAGCTATCAATTTATCACTGATACAATTAAGCTGAAAAATTCGATAATCTTGTTTCTAATAACTATTATCATTATTTATATTATCTAATTTTTAATTCATTCGCCCTAATCGTACTTCAGATGGAGACCAAGTCTCAATATCAGTCAGTCAGTTAGTCAGTAACAACGTAGAACTTCGTACTTACGTACATCAGTTCAAGTTGCCATACCATATTAGCACACAGATGCAGTTGTCGATTCAAACCCTGTAGTGGTAGAGTTAGTAAGAGTATAAGCAGTAATCGGAAAAATTAGGGTTTGAAGATGTTATTCAAGGTGTATAATCTAGTGAAATAAATTTGGAAAGAGAAAAAAAAGGACATGAAGAATTCAGGAGATTAGAATTTGGGAGAACACAAAGAGTAAATGCACCTGCGCTAAGTCTCAATGGTTGTATGATGAAAGTTGTAAATAGCTGACCATAGATGATTATGGTATTTTTCAAAAACAAATGGACAAATTCATTGAGTAAACTAGACTAACTAAGTAAATATGTACTTTAGTCCGCTTTATAAGAATCAACATTTTAAACAATATGATATTGAAACAACATATGGATTACATAAGAACAGATATTAGACTGGACCAAATATTGCACATGTATATTCTCAGTAATGAATAGTGGAAATAGTTGAATTTCATTAAAGTTATGGACCAATATAAGTTAGACCACCAGTAAATCCCGAGAACACTGGATGCTTGGTTCGTCCTAGTATGGGATTCTTCAGTAATTTTCAGCAACGATCCTGAACACGGATACCGAACTCACAACCTTCGATCTCACGCATGAACGTTCAAACTCTAGATCACTGAGTTGGCATTCAACGGTGTTAATGTCTAACACCAATCAATACACGATAGTGTGCATCCACCTACGATTTGCGGTAGGTAACTGAGTAACATGCAATACGGATTAGCTCCACTGGTCACGGATCCTTAATAGTACTCTGGAAATTTCTTCTTGAAGCTAGTCATTAGTGAGACGACAGTCCAATGCATTCAGGTTTTCAATGGTGATGTAACCTAGGTTGGCTCATGGTTCCAATGACTTACGAATTCATCTACTGATATTCAAATTGAGTAGTGTATGATGAAGCGTCTAAAATGATTAGATAGAGAATACTCGGACACAAACGTAGTCTAGTGGAAAACAACAAAGGATGAAATGACTGCTACAAAACTGGCATTAGTAGTCTCTGTTAGAGTATTAGAGTCATCAGATAAACTGAAAAATACTATCATATTTATCGAAAAAGAAACAAAGCTTACATGATTCGCAATTCCAGATGACGATGATGACCAGTCTACTGAATTAATGAACTTCAGTAAATCGAAATCTTCAATACGATTTTGATACAATAACACTAACAATATTCGTAAAGCAACCTGAAACAATCAAGTAATAATGTTAGAGATAAAATACTACACCACAAGCAAAAAAACAGATATCACTGTTTTATTAATATTAATAATATATTTGTAAATATTCGAATGAGTGGAAAAAAAAAGTTTTCTGACGTTTCGTGACTCACTGTAAGCCATTTCTTCAGAGAATAAGCAAGCAGATTAGGTTAACCCTAGGTTAAATATTATAAAGAAACGAATCATAAATAGTTGGCACAATCAATTATAAAACAAGTCCGGCCAAGTCAATGTCATATCACTCCGGTAAGGTGATTTATATAAGACATGTTTGTGAATGTGTGCATGTGTGTGTTAGCAAATAAAAATTGTGATGTTTGTAATGTGAAAGGATAGAGTTGAGTTTGTATATATGGTATTGGTGTGAGATGTGGATAGAATGAGATACAGTAGCTCGAAAAGATGTTCCAAGTCGGATGGATAGTAAAGGCCTTCTTTTCTATTTGGGACAGAAGGCTTCAGCAATATATGAAAAACTTCAGCTATTCGTCAAAGTAGAACCTGACACCTACGTGCATCAGTTCAAGTTTTCGTACCACATAAACACACTGAAATAAAATAGTGGGAGTAGTAATAGTAACAGTAGTGGAAAAGATTAAGAGTAGAAGCCAGAAGAAAAGGCACAAGGATAATTCGGGACTCAGGCTCTAATGAAAGGCAAGGAGTAAGTGCATCTGGGCCATTGCAAATGATTTTGATTTATGTTATCGAAATTCGATAACCATAGAGTTACGATAATCACGTGGATCCCAACTAAAATATCTGCATTTACCCACATGACTTATTCCCATAGTTAGTATCTTCAGAGACTGATGGCGTATCTTGGTTTGGTCACTATTAGCTTCCTTCCAATTTATTCCTACATCAGCATTCATCGCATGTCCAGTTAGTTCGTGCGTTGGCATACATAACATTTATCCTAACCATCTCAGTCAACAAATATTCACTATAATTGATCAGTTTCTTCTGGCATATCCATATCCTGAGCAGATTGCCTCTATACAGTCATCAGTCACAAGAATTTTGAAGTAGAGTTGAGTAGTGGCTATTTTCGACTTCAACTATCTGTCACATACACATATACATACAGAGAATAGGTTAAAAGGTTGGTCAATGAGATTGTATATTGATTAATAATTCAAAATCTAACCTGATCAGGAACTTCAAGTTCATAGTCGTGTATTCTCTTGTATACACCAAGCGATTGTATTATAATTTGTTTAATTACATTCATCACTTCAAGATAATTACCATTATTATTATTATTATCGTTATTGTTATTACTAATAATAGGATTGAATAATTTACACCCTGTACTTCCACTCTGTTGTTGTACATTATGATATTCATTAACAATTTCAGTTTTATTCACACAATGATTTATATTGTCAATTTCATCTGTATAGTATTTATACACAGAAGATAGATAACCTGGTAATAACATAAACCAAATTGAATAGGCAGATCCTGCTAAATACTTGACTTTCGTATAATCATCAGTTTCTGAAATACTAATACCTAGAAAAGTGAAAATGTCAAAAAACAAACATAATTACATAATGAGGAGAATTGAAGTGAAGTATAACTTTTAAGACGATTATATGAAAGACCATTTATCTATATCTTTAGTATACAAATGGTACATCCTTAGATTGTTCCATGATGAAATTGTCCATCTTTTCTAAACTTTTGTTTGATAAATAAATCGTTGTTATATCTTATTAGTCGATTTCGTATTAGTTATAACTAAGTTACGTATATATTGTAATTCCTAAATTGTGGTGCTGTGTAGTCAGTTATTTCAGGAATATTACTGTGTAAGTTAAAAACCATGGTTGAATTGATCACAACTGAAAGTTGATCTGCATTTTATCTTCGTCTTTTGATTGGTTACTGTGTTAGAAGGGGCATGAGAACCAATAAACATTAACATCTATCTTTGTTGTTATTTATTGGTTGATGTGTCAATTAGTGAATAGGACACAGGTGCCTACTGGGAGTAGAATTGAACTAATCGACAATATTACTTTTGAGTTTTTTTTTAAAGTCACATTATTGACGAGTTTAGTGAATTTTTAAAGAAACGAGCACGTAACAAGAAAATGTCGCATTAACAAAAAATGGTTTTTTGTTTGAAACAAGTGAAAGTATTGCTGTATTAATAGAAGTTGTGTTAGGAAAAATGTTTATTTCGCAGTAATATTTTGATCCTTTATCAGGTAAACAAATAGATCTCTATATTTCTTGCATTCAATCTTGTATCTTAGTGAATGTCAACTAACTTACTAAGACTGCTTTGAGTAACTAATAGAAAATCAGTGTAAACCCAGTGGGGTTTTTTTAACCTATCCGTCTCCTCTAGAAAAGATGTAAAAAAAATTATTATTAGAACTTATTACATGGAAAGAAACTGTTTTCCATTCAACTCACAATGATTTAGCGTATATCGTAATTCTTGCGATGTACGCTTTAAAATAGTTGCATTATTCACTGGTAAACAATATTTTGTACTCAAACCAATTAAACTCGTATTCTCTGGACGATTTGAACGAATAATTAGTGGAGATGGACTGTTTACTAACATTAATGAGCCAAATCTTTGAGTAGTGTTAAGTTGTAGTTTTGTCATCATTAATATTGACATTCCAGTCGGTGTTCGAGAATCTGGATTATGGTCTAATATATTGGTATTTACTGGGGATTTTGACCAACAGTTGACAGGAGTTGGTGATAAAAGCATATCACTACAGATGGTAGAATTAGAAGAAATGCAATTCTCTTTATTTTTAACCTCTTCTGGTACTGATGTTATCAATGTAGTAATTAGAGTGGAATTATCAGGGTTATCATTAACATTAAACATTGGTGTGATTATAGAATTATTTGACAAAGTAGCTTTTAAAAGAAATGCTCTTGAAGCTAATAAGTCTAATAATGTAGAATTAATATTAGTTGGGAAAAAACCGAGTGAATATTCTTTTGTCCATAATAAGTGTTGCAGTTGAGGTGTGTCGACGAATTCAGGAACTGGCCAACATGGAGGACTAATAACTGTTATACACAGACTAAAAAATGGATAGGAAAAGAATAAAAATAAACTAATTGAAACAAGGAAAACAACCAGTTAATTAAAAAAATTGAATTTGGCTAAAGCTAGATCGACTAGATTGTGATTCATTGGTGAGAGGTCAATTCATATCATTAGCTCATTGTCACTTTGTCGGACTAATGAACCGATAAATATAATTATGAATTGAACTAAAGCGTCTAGTGGTATTTCTGTACTAAAATCCTAGCCCAAATATACAAACCTCATGATTATTTGACTTCGTTTGTTATTCCTATGTACCTGCTTCGGTCTGGGCATCCGGGCAGTATCACAGCCCTCACACAAATCGAATGATTTATGTGGCGCATTTCTCTTTGGTGCCTCCTTGTACCAATGTTTGTGTGTTTAAATAAATAAACAAGCAGTGACAATTTTCTAGTACCAATTCGCTTACGACAACAATTGGTTGTATTCCAGGAATGTATAAGAGCAACTAAGCAATCAAATGCATATAGAAATGTGATCAATTTGATTCGCGACTTCAGTTGTAGAAGGAGAATACCAGGTAACGCATATCGAGATTAGATGTCGTGGAAGTTGATGATGAGAAACAGTTTGTGACATGCGCAAAATTAGACAATACAGCATGTTTGATTTAACCTTCAACCACTAAGTGTCTATTGTCCATCTAAACAATACTCTACTATTTCTAGACCTTAAACTTGTATGTTTCAGCCATTAGCTAATACTTTAATATACGTGAAACACAATTTATTGAAGATATTGTTTAAATAACCATAGAACCTAACTTTTATTGGATTGAAATTAAAATACAATCAACTCATTCACCAGGTACCTGTGTATGAAACACACTCAAAGTATGAGAGCTAATGATAATAACCAGATTGTATGAACCAGACAAGTAGATAAGGTGGGGTTGGCTACAACTCATTAACTCGACAGTTTAGTTATCGTATAGGTATTGTCTGTACATCTGAGCAAAATGTGTAATCTAACTGCATTATTAATATAATCACATTCTATATGCAATACATGTGATAGAAGAGGACCATTATTTGAAGTGAATTTATCTGTTAACATATTTTTCTTCAAGTTAGAGAGAAAAATGTTGTGCCTCAAATAGTTTTAGAGACTAGTTGATAAGAAAACTACTTGCAATATACTGATAACAAAGTGAATGTTGTACGTTCCTGTCTACATGATGCATAAATATATACATCAATGAAGTCAGCGAAGGGGATCTTTTCATTGTTTCTAAAAAGTTGCTAACATTCATTAACAAAACCATGTTAGTAATACTGATCTTTGGTAATGCATGTTAGGCCCCTGTAAAGATAGTTTAGTTATTACCGTCATCTTTGAACTCCAGCTTTAATCGCTTAGATATATTTTAAAAAATTCAACGCAGGCGCTTTCATTTCGCTGATTAATTACCGAGACTGTGATTAGGAGGGAAGGTGGAGAAGTGATCAATTTGTGAAATAATGTCGTGGTATGAAATGAAGCTGTATAAGACCAGTATCTGTCAGTCCATCAGAATCTTGTAGTTAAAATCCTATAGAGGACATGACTTCGTGGATTGACATACCACCAAACACGACTCAGTATGGAAACTATTAGCTATTCAATTTTTCTTATATTCTTGATAAAACTGACAAGAAATTTCTTCGACTGAAGGGATCCATTCTGTTTGTATTTCAAAACTAAACTGTATCTTCTCTCATGATAATAACTTTATTTATTTACACTGTTATTGTTTTTCTTGTTGCATGCACTGCATTTCCTTCCTTCATTTCTTCACAACGTTATCTCTTTTTGTGCGACATATACAACTACCCGATCGTATTAGATTTTATGCAAATGAAATAACTGATTAAGAAAAAAAGAATTCAAAGATGAGAAAAACACTCACTTGTTATTATTAGGTAAAAGCCCTAAATCACTTGAAAGCTGTGAATCCGTCGATTCATCCGATCTATCTTTGATCGATGTGTTACTTGACACTGATCGATCTTCTGAATGATTATTATGATCCGCATAGCTTAGATGATTATTACTACTACTATTACTATTATGATTATTTGTAATGCTCAGTTGTTCATGAGACGATGATGCCGATCGTTTAATTGTGAATATATTACTCATAGTTGTTAAACTAATATTATTACGAGAACGATGAAGATGTTGATGATGATGTGGTCGAGATTTCGATTCACTTTCTAGCAATAATTCAATACGATTATCGAAATAATCCAATTCTTCATCACGTGATGAAGCGTAAATTCGATCACGAACAAAATTATTCCACTGTTGTGTTTCAAATAAAGCACGATAAAATGGTATTGTATGCTTATCAGCGCATTCTCGTAAGAAATCTGATTGAAAAATAAATGGAAAGAGATAGGATTTAAGTGTAATAAGTATGAAAAACACTTCAGATGATATATATATATATATATATATATATATATATATATATATAGAATCATTCATTTGATCTCACCATGCCAAAATAAAAAACCAACTCGATTCACACCTCGTGCATCTGGAAGACCTGATGCTGCTTCCCGTGGCCTCACCGGCGTAGGTATAACATTGAGTCCTAGGGCAGAACTAGCTCTCTTAGACTGGATCCCAGTAAACAGTCATTTCTGCGCTGTTCAACTAAACGGAACAGTAAGGACTCGGAAAGATAGGGACACTCGTCGTTGCCTTTTCGTCGTCTCTGCCTATTTCTCCCACTGACTGCAGCTCAGATGATGTAAAAAATGAGTTTTACAGAAAGCTTGCCGACCTTCTCCGAAATGCTAGGAGCTCTGATGTAGTAGTGGCTGGTGACTTTAATGCTCAGGTAGGTAAACTAAGAGAAGGGGAAAGATACCTGGGTGGATCTTATAGCACCGTGGCTCAAAGAACAGATAATGACGACCGTCTGTTGCAGCTATGCTCAGATAACCGCCTCTTCATTGCAAATACTAACTTTAAGCATAAGCAAAAACATCTGGTTTTCGACCTGGACGTCGTTGTACAGACCAGATATTCACACTACAAATCCTAGAACATAGACACACATTCAGACGCCTCACAATCGTAGTATTACTCGACATTAGGCCGGTATTTGACTCTGTTGATCGTCAGGTTCTGTGGCAGTATTTGTCACTGAAAGGAGTACCAAAGATGTACATTAACCTTATAAAGGCTCTCTACTCGAACACAACTGGTCGAGTGAGAGCTTATGGCGAACTGTCATCAGAGTTGATTACCTCTGATGGTGTTCGTCAGGGCTGTCCACTCTCCCCATTCTTGTTTAACTTTGTCGTTGAGGTGCTTTTAGAGATGACACTTTCCTTATCTAGTTTTCCAGGGGTTGAACTTATACCAGGATATTCACTTTTTGACCTAGAATATGCCGATGACATAGTTCTATTTGGTGAAGACGCTGACAAAATGCAGAGTCTTCTGACCACTATAAGCAACAATGCAAGCATGTTCGGGATGCGATTCTCCCCCTTCCCCCGAAATGCAAAATGTTGCTTCAGGATTGAGTTACATCGACACCCGAACTAATGATAGGGAGTGAAGTAGTTGAGTGTGTCGACCACTTCACTTATCTTGGAAGTCTCATCAGCCCTTGTGGTCTGGTGTGTGACGAAATCTCAACACGGATACAGAAGGCTCGACTACCTTGCTTTCGCCAACTTGCGTCATTTATGGCGTGGGCGAGATATCCGTCTATCAACCAAAGGACGGGTTTACTGCGCAGCATTTTGTTCCGTTCTGCTTTATGGCAGTGAAACATGGCCGGTAAGAGTAGAGGATATTCGTAGGTTAGTAGTATTCGATCATAGATGTCTTCGAAACATTGATCGTATATCATGGGACCATCGAGTAAGTAACTCAGTTGTTAGGAAACGGATACTAGGTAAGGATGGGAAATCAATTGATGATGTAGTGAAACTTCATCAGTTGAGATGGCTGGAACCCGTGCTACGTATACCCAACCACCGACTGCCCTGACGTGCGATGTTTTATGATGTAGAATTAAGTTGAAAGACAGCTAGGGGCGGCCAGACCAAAACATGGCACAAGTCCATAAAGTCACTGACAAGTGAACTGAGTCATGTTGGTAGGTGTAGACTACCTGGTTGGGGACCACGAGATGATAGCAACCGATGGTTAGAGACCCTGAATGACATGGCTCAAAATCGTTTGCAATGGCGCAGGTGCATCCATTCTTTGTGTTCTCTCAAATTTTAGTCTCCTTATTCTTCCTTGTCTCTTTTTTCTCTTCCCAAATTTGTTTCACTGTATTATACTCGTTCTCCTTGAATAACATCTCCAAACCCTAATCTTCCCGATTACTGCTTATACTCTTGCTACCTCTACCACTACGGGATTTGAATCGACAACTGCATCTCTGTGCTAATGTGATATGGCAACTCGAACTGATGTACGTACGTACGAAGTTCTACATTGTTACTGACTGGTTGACCGACAATATATAGAAAGCTTTCGAGTATTGAGTCTTTAACACTGATATCCAAATCTCAATAGCCCAAAGAATACAATCAATTTTTTTCAGATTAATAGCTATCAACTACCTATTATGGAGACATCGGAAAGCCAGACATCAAAACCTCAGCAGATGAAAAATATTGCAAGTATAAATTCATGTTTATTACGTGTTACAACTGTGAAATTTTACTTACGTTCAATATTAAACATAATATCCGTTTGAGAATTACGAACAGGTACAAGACATAAACGATAATCTTTCAATAAATGCACCATAAATTGTAGAAATGCTTCTTTAATACATGAACCAATTTGTGTCTAGATTTAATGAAGCAAAGAAAATAAAAAGATTTTAAATTAAAAAGGACAGTACACAACGAAATGAGATGACAATGAACTACTTATTTATTATATAAGTAGTACGAAATAGTAATCAAGAAATAGACAGCTTGTGAAGAATGCCCGTAAGAAAAATTTAAAAATGAAATAATTATACATAGACAAAAAGATTGTTTTAATGATGAATACAATGTAACAACTTTCCAACCAACTAATTAGCTACCAAGGAAGGAATGAGCACACAGACGACTTTCATAATAATCTTACAAATATGAAAATAACAATTACAGTGGGTGTTGACATAAACACAGAAATAGACGACACTCAGAATGATTAAATGTAGAAAATACATTGTTCCAAGAAATCTAGCGTACCTGCAAATTTTGTTCAGGAAAATGAAGAATGAATCTTATAATTAAATAATACAGTTTCGATAAAGACATATTATATCAAGGTTTGAGAAAGAAGTATAAAGATAATGATCACCTGATTTATCTATAGTGCTAATTAAAAGTATTGACCTAATCAATGAGTGAAAATTACAGTTTTTTTCTTTACGTAGTTCATTCAACCCAATTCAATAATTGAGTTGTACCACATTTATGTACTAGTTATATTTTTTTTCTTCCAATAAGTGAATTATTACTATTATTAGTAGAAGTAATTTTATAAAGGAACGATATTGTGAAAGTTGAGACTAAGTTTACCAAAGTTACAATTATTATTTTATTCTATTAGTAATGATTAACTGAACTACCATGTCTATACTATCTATTTATCGTAATCTTTCATTTAACCCATTAACTACTGTTACACAATTCACCATTTCTGCTTTGTTATCAGTCGATTACTTACAGTCTAACACTTTAACAGTAAGTTACGGTTTTGTTCGTGAATAAATGTAATTTTTCAATTTATGATACGTTGTAGTCCATTATATCTGTTTATAAACCACGTCCGTTGAAAACATAAATTGGAGGCTGGTTGCTACTTCTAGACTCGAGGTAGAGAGTAATTTGCGTATAACAGGCCAATAAGAAATTAGCTACAACGACTCAAGGTCAGTAGTGCGGTGCAATCGATCGAATTGGAGACACTATACTATCGAGGAAATAGTAGATATGAAATGGACTAAATTACAATTAAGGTTTTGATTGGTGACTTGGTACATGATATTGGCCAGCAGTCACAAGCGATAAAATACAACTCACATAATATTTGAATAGGTTATTCTTGATGACGATTATCAAAGAGATATGTAATTTACCAAATTAAATACTCTGATAAACAACTTGTCATTTTTTAAAATCCGAACAGATAAAAAAAATTCATCCGTATTACTACGAAAGATCTGTGAAAATCTGATGAATTTCACAGATGGCAACACTAGGTACTACTGATCCTAGTTGAACAGTCATTAAGAAGCCAGAAAGGATTGAACAGAGGTTTCTGAAAAGTATGGTACTTTATAACAGTGAGTATTCGCGACTCTATTACTATGTTTTCGTGATAGGCCTCAAACCTTTAGAACTACGGGTCAGAATCCATTGATTTATATTACTAAAGTCCATCAATTTGTAATATCGAGAAACCATCGTCTAGTGTCATTGGTAAGTGACTGCCTCTGATTTGACATAATTAAACTTCACTTGTCACGGCTTCTTACTAGAAACCTAGGAATTATCTCTCACTGCTGATGAGTCTCACACTAAAGCGAAACAGAACAGTACATGACATTAATCGTAAAAGTAATCTGATAAATTACAATGCATCATAATGATTAATGTTCTCTACAATAACAAATTAAAACTGAAATGTGTGAAATTAATCGAAGTATTCAATGATCAATAGAGTTAATGACAGTTTCATGTATTATCATTCTTTTAACGAAAATAAGCCTCTTAAAAATTCTGAGTGATCTTAAAAACAGATTTTTTAAAAATGCATGCATATTTGTGTGATAACACTAAAACTAAAAACGTTGCGCACCGGTACTGAGTAGCTAATAATAATAATAATAATAATAATAATAATAATAATAATAATAATAATAATAATAATAATAATAATAATAATAATAATAATAATAATAATAATAATAATAATAATAATAATAATAATAATAATAATAATAATAATAATAATAATAATAATAATAATAATAATAATAATAATAATAATAATAATAATAATAATAATAATAATAATAATAATAATAATAATAATAATAATAATAATAATAATAATAATAATAATAATAATAATAATAATAATAATAATAATAATAATAATAATAATAATAATAATAATAATAATAATAATAATAATAATAATAATAATAATAATAATAATAATAATAATAATAATAATAATAATAATAATAATAATAATAATAATAATAATAATAATAATAATAATAATAATAATAATAATAATAATAATAATAATAATAATAATAATAATAATAATAATAATAATAATAATAATAATAATAATAATAATAATAATAATAATAATAATAATAATAATAATAATAATAATAATAATAATAATAATAATAATAATAATAATAATAATAATAATAATAATAATAATAATAATAATAATAATAATAATAATAATAATAATAATAATAATAATAATAATAATAATAATATAATAATAATAATAATAATAATAATAATAATAATAATAATAATAATAATAATAATAATAATAATAATAATAATAATAATAATAATAATAATAATAATAATAATAATAATAATAATAATAATAATAATAATAATAATAATAATAATAATAATAATAATAATAATAATAAATAATAATAAATAATAATAAATAATAATAAATAATAATAATAATAATAATAATAACAATAATAAAGTTTTTGATTGAGATCATGAACTGGTTGATATTAGACCACCTTTGGAAACCTGGAAGCACTGGACGGGCGTTTCGTCCTACTGTGGGATTCCTCACCAGTTCGCATCCATGACCCCGCCCACGGGATTCGAACCCAGGGCCTTCAGTCTCGCGTGCGAACCTTCAACCTACTAGACCAGTGGGCCGGAATCCAATGGTGATAGTGTCTAACATCAACCAATCCACGAAATTGCGTGACCGTCTTCCATTTTACTGAGGTAGATACCTGTCTCTACCCGACATGGATTAGCTCCACTGGTCACGTCTTCTCACTAGAACTCCGAGAACTCCTTCACGAAGCTAGTCACTAGTGAGCACATGTTAATTACTAGTATAGGGGATTAGTATTATATACTGGTCATATGCAGTACAGTGATAAAGATCTGATCAGATATCATAAGATCTCGTCGGATCAAATAAAACATCTGACATATACCAAAGCGTATAGATTAATCATATATTTCTCTAAAAAATAGTTCCTCGCTCAATGAAGTATAGTAGTTCATATTAGTCTTAGAATCAAACAAACAGTGTGGAAGTGATGAGTTTTGCACACAAAAACGATGTTGAATGGCTGCTTTGCGTAAAATATAACAAATTATCACAAATCGAGAAGAAATTCTTGAAGTTCAATCAATAGTTCCGTTATATAAAACGTTTACATTAGATCATTATTATTATCACTAATTCATTGTTAAGTAGAGTAACAAAGTTAAATATTAGATATAGATCTTGGATCTAAATGACCAATGAGCACAGTAAAGCCGGTTTATATATTCAAATAATTTAGAATTTTTCTTTGAAGTTTCTAAACAAGCACAAAATAGATCGAATAGGAAGACTTTATGATAATTAATTCAAGACATGGTAATGAACCATATTATTTATTAAAGTTTTAACACTTTTTAGGTTGGAGATATCATTCCCTATCCTATGAATGATTGTACAGTAGAAACCACAGTTATGAAACTAGGTTATCAGTGTACATTCACATCATTAATAAATTGCCCCCAAATGCCCTGGTACGACCAAGAGTGGAGAGAGTCTGCTCTCCCTCTAGAAATGCTCTCACACGGCCACGCATATATTGCCTTCTCATGGCGAGGGTGTTCTTTACGAAATTGAGAGGATGAAAAGCGAATATCTGGCGCTTTTACCGGTTTGGTGGATATGAACGGTTCACACAGGGGAGTTGGAAAACCCTGATCCCAAACCAATGGTGTACATGGGCTCCACGATCCTAAGGAAATAAATGGCATACGAATCAGTTATTGGTCACCGACTACGATGGGATTGCATCGCCTTACGACGCTCCACTGCCTTGTAGGTCAGACCTTTAGGTCGAGATTCCGGGTGTGGCCCCGTAAGAAAGCCACCTGCTTCGGTTTGGGCACCTGGACAGTATCACAGCCCTCACACATATCAAATGAGATCTGTGCGGCACATATGTATTTGGTGCCTCCTTGTACCAATATCTATGTGTTAAAATAAATAAATAAATAATACATTAATAGATTACACATTACTGGGACGCTATATTTATTCTAGTTTCAATAATCCACCTAAGTAATTAACGTTACTAAACAATCCTTTATAATAATATTCGTAAACTATTAACTACAATTATTAACAGATATATTTTAAAGTCTATAATAAACACAATAAGTTTATGAAATCTAATGAATAATTTTCAAAATTGGTTCAAAATGAAATGAAATAAAGAAATTTATTTCTAATCTATTTATACGATAAAAACAGATCATATAGAACATTAATAGTAATATTTAAAACAGAGGTCACCATAGTAACGAGTAAATAATAATACGCTAGAATATGAATGTCGATACATTCAACCTTGACTATTCACATTTCATGTGTAGTATGTATTGGATGTTTACATAACATCAAAAATAATTCGTAGTGTACAAATACACATGAGGATCTTACATTCCACAAAGACGAAAGAGTACACATATTTTAAATGTAACTAACGTATTAAGTAAGATATAGTAGGAAATGAATAAAATATTATGTCTGTAAGCGATTGATATTCAACCAATTTGAATTGAGCCGATGAAGAAACTGGGGTTGGGACAGGAGGTGAGAACAAACTTAATATTGTTATATAAGAGATTATATTTTACAACCTGATTTCTCTGATTCAAAGAAATCAAAATGATTGAGTTCAGAAGTAAACATGATAATGATTATGTATGTTGTTCAAAACCAAAGAATATTTAAGCGCACTGCTGAGGAGTTCCACAATAGAACGAAACGGCCTTCCAGTGCTTCCAGGTTTTCCATAGTGGTCTAGCTTCAACTGACTAATGATCTTAACCATTGAAATTACTATAATATCCACAAAACCCATCTGATACTAAATAAAACACTCTACAGTTATAAAGTGTATTACAGATAGGCAAAAAAAGACATGCATTTAGTGATATCGTCCTATTACTATTGGTATCAAACAAATTAACAATAAATTTAGAATAAGTTAACATTTCGTGTTGTTGCCGTATGAAATGAAGCTGTTCGTCCATTAAGACTCCTTTGTTAAGATCCCAGAAATGGTGTAAAACACTGGCTGGACATGTTATTCGATATGATTCAAAATACAGGTCATTAACGATAAAGTTGTACATTCTTCATAAAAGTGTGATGAACTTCCTTAACTGAAAGATAAGTATTCCTTTGTTATATTGTAACGTCAAAATCATCTACTATAAAATACAAAACTTCTCCTCACAATAATCCCTTTCCCATCTTGATGGCGTTATAACGTTACGTCTCCTAATGTTATCATTAAGTAATTCTTGTTTGATGGAGAATAAATAGTTTAAACAACAACGAAAATTGTGTATGACTAGTTATTGAACAAAGTAGATACAAGATATAACGGTCTATATCACTATAAACGTTTTCATTATCACATCATCATGAATCTAAAAGTTGGAAATTTGGGTAAAAGCATACTTAAGGGATATATATTGTATAACTGATGATTTAAAATATTGTCCTCTTTCTACGGTACAACTACATTAATACAATAATAATAGGATAATAATTCTGATTTGAGTAACCGAGTTTATAATACCGCTAGATTGGATACTCATAGGGTACACTATACAAAGACTAGTTCACATTATATCAGATACACAATTAACAACCAGAGTAACATTGATGTTAATTCGTGATCAAAACTATCAACTTCTAATCCAAACAATAACTAGGAACAATATGAAAACTCTACAAACTATGTATGAATTCTTTGAAGGGTTTGAAAAGATTAATTATGAACAACCATTAGGAACAGTTTATATGTTGTTTCTCCGATTTACATGATGTATAACCTGTATAAGATATCAATAATTACATTAATTGTGTAATATCCATTTACACTTACCAATATCATTCAATTTCTTTTCTATAAACTATCTATTTATATAAAAGCTATTTTATGACCGGTTAAACACTAGATGAGAATTCATTTCAGTTATTTTTTCTAAGCCTATTCCTATACTATACTCTACCCATAGATTTATTTTCATTTAAAGCTTATTATCAGAATAAAGTTGTGAGAGAATGAAAAGAAATTTAATCTGGTATGTGGAAATGTGTTTATTTGTGGGTTTATTTTCCATGACTACATATTATGTAAATTAAAAGTATCAACGTCTTACCATTAAATATATACTATTTATTATCAGATAGAAACGATAGTCACATGTGAATAATTTAAACAATCAAAATTCAAACATGAGAGAGCACACCGGTTGGAAACTTGCTGTACGCGAACTGGATGAGGATTATTAGTTCATTCTAGAACAATTGAAAGTTTTGAGTACAACACGGCTGATAATTAGCTATTAAATTGACATGGTGTCTAAGATAACACTTATGTAAGCTGAATTGTATTGCCATATAACTCTTCATGTGTAAAATGATGATCAGATAAATAAATAAAGTTAGTTTGATTGTTTTAAAATAAAGTTCTATGTCAAACATTATATCAGTAGTTGAAACAAGAGAACATTTTTCTCATCATAAACAGTTATGCAAATGCATATACTACGAAAAATCGAAAGCTTTTCAGTTGAGTGATCCAATGGAGGGGAAGATTTAGTGTCATAGTTGTAGTAGTAGTAGTACTACTACTACTACGACGACGACTACTACTACTACTACTACTGAACATGCACATGTACATGAATGGAAATCACATGAAAAGTGATTTCCCAGATAAAATGTAACAAAAAATAGTATTGAGTACATCTTGCAAAACGAAAAAAATATTTAAGGATAAAAACATTTCAATATGACATATATTTCGATTGTATATATATATATATATATATATATATATATATATATATATATAAATTGTACTACAAAAAGGCACACAGTCGATTCATAAGTGCAACACAGTATGTACATAACACACCAGAAGTGAACACAATCATTTAACAACAACAGGGTATCATAAAATAATAAAAAAGAAAGACACAGATGAACGAACACATACATGCACATTTATACATGCTACTATTATCATTAAACAACTCTTGTTGTATGAGTAAAACTATACTGTACCGACGACTCAATCAGATTTAAGTTGGTAACTTCTGGATATCCTGTGTGTATAACTTAAAACAGCATAACGAATAGTTGGTGACTTATTCAGAGCGCAGTACAGTTTACCTATATCTATTTTTTTAAATGCTTGAAATCGACAAACTCATCTGTTGTGCAACTTACAGAGAGAATAATGGTAGGGTGTGAAGTTTGAATAACAGGAAAAGGCTTACTACTAATGCACACTATATATAGAAAGGGAAATTATAACAGATTGAGCATACTTGCCGAGGTTCAAGGCATAGTAAAAAATGATTGTGTAGTCTTTCAAGGTCCCTATGTACATAACATATCTATGAACTGCTCAAAGTATCTTTAAAGTTTTGCAGATTTAAATCCAAAAAGTTATTCTACATAAATCTCCTTTCACAAGTATAGATAAAAAGTATTCTGATATACTGACCTCAACTCTTAATTCTACATTGATTGATAAATGTTAATTCAGCGATACTATAATTTATGGACGAACCAATCAGCTAACGAGTCACGATTTTTGGCGCGAAATTCATCTGTACATTTGGCTAATTAAAGTTTTGGCATTATAGCCGATATCCGTTCGTGATGAAAACCCGAAATCTAATTGCTTTATAACCTTCACATTTGGTCCTAATCAGTAGGTGTCAACTCAAGGTCTTTCAGTGTCGCTCAAAGGTCATCCATAAATTATACTCTCACCGTTAATTCTAATCTTTATCCAATTACTACGATAAATAATTCGATTAGACAATGTTATTCTTTTAATAATTTTCTGATTGGACAATGATAATTTGCCCAAGGTCGTCATAGTATAGTAAAATTTTACCGATATAAATATACTTCGAAAACAAACAAATTCATGTTTTTCATGAAAAGAAAAATTACACTGATAATGAATATAATAACGTTGACAACAGTAAAAAGAAAAATGAAACAAACACTGCAGCGCATGCTTGCATCAATAAAAAAAAACAACAAAGAAACAACATTTAAAAACACAGATCAAATAAAATAATCAATAATATTTAGTGTGGAGAACAAACCATTTCATTGAGTTCTTGTAACCACTGACGCCCAATAATATAAAAAGAGGAAAGGAAGGGATAGTCAAGAAATCAATATAAATATGGATTAATTTTTCAACATTAGTAACTGATCAATAAAAATGCACATAGACTATTGAGAATCATGGAATAATCAATCAGATAGAAATACGATGGCAATGAAATAAGTCAAAGGATAATTATAATTAAGAATTGAAAATATGAGATTATTCAATTAGATTGATGATAATTAGTGTATAATCGAATGATTGATTTAGGTAAAGTGATCTATAAGTTAAATCATTACCATGAAATATAAACACCATTGATTCGATCTCTCCTGTGACAGTAAGGTTATGGATTTACACTGCTACTGAAAGATCATATTATTAGGATGAAATAGATGTTCAGTGATTGTTTATTTTTAATTATAGATGATGGAAACTATGAAATTTGAATCGTGCATCAGACATCAATGTCTGATGTACACAACTCAGCAAAAAAAAAGTGCGAATGAATTTGGTACAAATATTTATAATTTATCGTTTTCAATGGTTTCATCAACCATTCGGAGAAGTGTTAGTCAATAGTATTACTGGAAGATTTGAATCGTCAAAATTTATGTCAATAGAAATTAATGCAATTTAGTCATTAAATAGAGTCCATAGGTTCAACATTGAACACTTTACATATGAGTGAAATAGAATGAACATGTGACTAAATAGTAGGACAACCAGTGATTATACTGTTCTGCCGGAGATTACAAGAGATTGATATTATGCAGAGATACACTTCTTCTTCATTGCATGTTTGTTTTTAAAACAATAAACAATAGGGTAGTGAAGATCGTTGGGTTTGACTGAAATCATGAACTGATCAATGTTCGAACACCGCCCAATATCTGAAGGCATTAGACGGCAATTCCGTCCACAACCTTGTATTGATAATGATTATATGCTCACTGAAGTCTAGCTTAGCGAGACAATTCTCGAAGTTCTAGTGAGAAGCCGTGACCAGTACAACTAATCCGTGTCGATTGTGAGGAAGTTACCCACCAAAGACAATGGATGATGGTCGCACAATATCATGGATTGGTTGAAGTCAAACATTAGAACCGTTGGATTCTGGCTTAGTGGTCTGGAAGTTAGGCGTTCGCGCGCGAAACTGAAGGTCTTCGGTTCGAATCGCGCGTGTGGGATCGTTGGTGCGCACTGCTGAGAAGCCCGTATTAGGAGAAAACGGCAGTCCTACAATGCTTTCAGGTTAGTAATAGTGATCTAACATTGATCAGTTCATGAACTACATGTAATAGCAAGGTGTATGTTTACCACGAACTCTATTCCACAAAACAAAATAGCTGAAATTTAGGAATATTCAATAAGCTAACCAAACTAACAATTTTAGTTACATTTTTCCTGATGTTGTCATCAGTTTAGTTGGCAATTTTCCCTAAAATTACATTTCTATACAGCAAAAATATAACATGTAACAACAGATCGGAACAGTAGTGACTGTAATAATTGATATTGTTACATGTTTACGTAGTTTAACCTAACCATTGAACAGATGAATTATTCTAATCATCCCAGTTATTGTCATTTATATATGTTGTGATGTTCAGTATGAGTATATAACAGTATATATGTATTTATGTACTTGCTCGTATGCGTTTTCATGCTCATAGAAACTTAGTCATATAATAATTTATTGAATCAATTTGTATAACCGAACTCTAATTCTTGATACTATCCTCTGGATCTACTGTTCAATATTGACATAGGTATATTGAATATAATTTGGAATAGACTTTTTGGATATCTATTATTGTTCTAAACGTGTGAAATCGATGGAAGATATATATATATATATAAAGTTAAGTGGAATATGTCATTCACCAACATTATTAAAGATTCAAATACATTAAAGTTAGACAATGAACATCATTAACGAAAGTAGTACAAGTTAGTAATTGATAAACGGGAAGAAGAAGAAGAAGAAGAAATAAACGTTTTTTTTCATCAACTTACACGTTTACGAACTTTAATTAATTCATCTTCAGCTAATTCTGAATTTGATGTTGAAAACATACAATCTAACATCATATTTCTAGGTATCATTTTAGATGATGTTTTACGAGTATTTTTCATTTGAAATATTTTCTCTTTTAATTCTAATAATCTTGTTTTTAATTGTTTCAATGGTTTCTAAAATATAAAACCAAAAGGTTGATTGATTAATAAGGCAGTTAGGATATGTGTTGTTATGTATATACACAACCAACCATCTAACCCAATAGGCAATGTTGTCTAGTGTAAGAGTGGGTCGAAATAAAGCTAGGGCCGTCCAAACCAAGAAGTGAAATGAGACTAAGAAGTCATTGACAAATAAACTGAACCGTATTAGTGGATATATATGCTATCTGGTTGGAGTCCGTGTCATGATAGTAACCAGTGGCTAGAGAATTTGAATGACATAGCTCAAAATCATATTGGGATGCTGCAGGTGAATTATAGCCAAACATGAAACTCGGGATCTAAAGGAAGATATAATTGATGCACCTACGCGATTGAGAACGACCCCAAGTCGCGTCACCCATCGTCTCTAACCGATGGCCACAGTAATCGTGAAAACCTCAACCATATAGTTTGCACCTACCTTCATGGCTCAGTTCAATAGTCAGTGTCTTCATCGACTGATGTCACATATTGGTTTGCAACCCCCCTCCCGCCCTTAGGTTGTTTAATGACTACTCGCTTTATGACTCCAATAATTCGAGTATTATCTTGAAAAAACAGTGGTCAGATAACCGTAATATTGTGTAATGAATTAACAACAGTCATGCTGTGAGACAACCAACGGTTTAATGCTGTCAAAATCCATGTGTAAAATTTAGATCTGGGACATCTAACAATCATTTAACAGTACCACTCCATCGATTAAACATCAAGAATTGGTATACAATACTGATTAAATTCGAAAACATGGTGTTTAGATGGGAATATATTACATATCTTCAAAGCAGACACATACATATATCCAAGATAAACACAAGAAAAACAAATTTTACGCTTCAATATTAACAATAATAATAATAATCTCTTACTTTGGGGAGAACTTTTGAATCAAATATTGGTTGACCCGGTGCTAATGGTGGCTTGAAATTATTTGTATCCAAGTCAAGATAGGCAATGCCACCATTAGGTGGTAAACGGAAAAAGTCAAAAAATCTTGAGTCCATTCCAATTAAATATGGTGAAGGTGATTGAATCACATGAATACAGCCCATATATATGTATGGAATATATACAACTGTCCATTTCAATGGGAATATCATCTGAAAAAATTAACAATTGAAGCAACGAGAAAAATTATGATGATTAAAAACAGCTATTAATTGTTTTTTAATGGTCTACATGATGGACTGCTGATCTAAGTTACAGCAACCATTAAGAACCAGGAAACACTAAGCAAGTGTTTCAGTCAGTCAGTTAGAATGTAAGACCAGGCACATATATGCATCGGTCCAAGTTGCCACGCCTAATTAGCACGAACACGGGATTCATAGAAGTAGTTAATTCAATGATGGTAGTATATAAAGGAAAGATTTTATGTAAGAATATAGTACAGAAAGAAAGAATTCGTTCGTAAAACAAAAGATATGAAATAATTTTTATCTCAGGGAAGACAACGAGTGTGTACACCTGCGGCACTGTGACCGATTCTGCGCGATGTCACTCAGAGTCTCCGACCATTGGTTACGAAAGTCGCGCGGACCATAACCGAGTAGTCTGCATCTACCAACGTAGCTCAGGATAGAAGTTAGTGACTTCAAGCACTGTTTCATCCCAGTATGAAACTCCTGAGTGGCAGAGAAAGGGAATTATTGAACCAAGGAAATTCGATTTTAAAGGGAGTGCCTAAATTTAAGACAAGGCATAGAATCGTCAACATGTATAACTTTAACCAATTTGTAATATTTCATTTCTATAAACTATCCATTTATAGAAGCTACTTTATGACCGGTTAGACACTAGCTGGGAATTCATTGAAGTTATTTTCTAAGCTTTTTTCGATATTATACGGTTTACTCATAGGGTCTCACTAAAGAGACATTGTAGCAATTCTTAATACATTATTTTATACGAATTATTCTAGCTTCAGGACAATTAGGTACTCTATACACTAGATATTTAACCTTGTTAATTATTCATTTTAAACATTCTTCATTCATTTGTATACGATAGTACATGACTATCTACTTATGTATATTTTACACGTGGTTCATTTTCATTTATGTACATAAAAAATTATTGATACTTGAATATTTCACGTAATTAGTAATGATATAATCACTTACATTCTTCTATCTGAATATCAATGAAACAGGAACAAGATCATATAAGTCGGTGTTCTGATTGGCGATTTTGTCATGGGATAATTGGTAAGGGCAATATTTATTTTAACACATAAATATTGGTACAAGGAGGCGCCAAATACATATGCGCTACACAAATCTCATTTGATATGTGTGAGGACTGTGATACTGCCCGGGTGCCCAAACCGAAGCAGGGCAATATACATATTAAAAACTACTTTTGTACTTTAATTATTTTATTTCATTGTCATTAACATAATCAAATATATACATGAGGCTATTAAGGTTTTTATACATTTTACTACCATCATTCATTATCAATCAATGGAGTCACAATTGGTGGTTATGATATAAGTTACAGACTGCATTACAATTATTATTATTATTATTATTATTATTATTATTATTATTATTATTATTATTATTATTATTAATGAATAAATTAGACATAAACGAGTGTTGTCAAGTTAAAGTGTGGATGAATTCTAACTCAAAATAGGAAAACATCAAATTGAAAACAATGTAAAGTGAAGTTGGACAATAGATTATTTAATTTGGCATTTTTCGCGATGTTAATGTACTTTAACAATTTTCCAGTTGAGATTTGTGCATCTCAGCCCAAGTTACTGTAATACACATCAGTGAGATCAATTTATAGGCGGTGAAAGAGTTGAAATAATCGTGATAGCAATAATAGTGCGAAAGACTGAGGATCAAGAAATTGGGATGAAAAAAATATGTACGAAAGCATATGGGAGCAAAAACCAGAGGAAGGAAAAAGAGTGAAAGCAACTGCGCAATATATGACCGATTTTCAATCATGTCACTACGCAACGTCCCTAACTATTGGTTAAGATAATGGCACAGACCTCAAGTTTGTGTCTGTCTATATATCTCATACTAACAGGTAATATATTCTTGGACTGATATCATAATTTGATTCAGGTACTCTAGCCGAAAGTTTCATAATACATGAGAAAAATAGAAAACGAAGTGAACTGACTGACTCTACTTGAATGTATGTTAACACAAAGTTATAGAAAAAAAGATTTATTTATTTATTTAAACATATAAATATTGGTACAAAGGGGCAACGAATACATATGCGCAACACAAGTCACTTCATTTGTGTGTGGACTGTGATACTTCCCATGTGCCCAAACCGACGAAGCAGGTCGTTTTCTTAGAAGACCACATCCGAAGCCTTCGATCTGAAGGTCTGATCCACAAGGCAGTGGAGGAACGCAAGGAGATGCAGCCCCATAGTAGTCGGTGACTAATAATTGATTCGTACGTCATTTGTTTCCTTAGGATCCTGGAGCGCATGTACACCATTGGTTTGGAATCAGGGTTTTCCGACTCACCTAGATTGACCGTTCATATCCACCAAACCGGTAAAAGCGCCAGATATTCGCATTTCGTCCTCTCATTTTCCTAAACAACACCCCCGCCACGAGACGGAAGTGAGTAGAACTTGCCTGGCAGTGGTTGTATGCACGTGGCCACTTCAGAGCACAAACCATATTTATCAATTAAAAGAAAATTCGTGAGATTTTAAGCACGTATGAATATGTTTGATTTCTAACTGTTTATGAGAACCTGAAACCAGCTACAACCATCAGATACATTGCTATGGCTTGAGTAAGCTGAACGATAACACGCGTTTAAGTCACCGATCAAAATTCCAACTATAATAATCTTTATTTTACATCTACTTTTACTTCTATAGTCCAGTATTCTAGACTCGACCACTTACACATCTGACCTGGACAGTTCACCTTGAGGCAACACAAGCTAGGCTCCTATAATCTGTTATACTTGTAGTAAACAAGAACTCATGTGGAGAAAACCAACTTATTGTTTAATGCAAAATTACAGTGTCATGGTAAAATATGGAAACCATACATTAAATACATTATTTGCACATCTTCATTCAGTTGTCGTTTACACGCTTCATGACTGTTGCAATTATGATGTTATCCCAATTGTTCTGTTTCTTTTCCTGTTCTCAATTCAACCGTCTATTGTCTGGCATTCCACTTAGGTAGCATACACCACATATTCAAGCATTTCTTTATCCCCTGTAATGAGTTCGAGAGACGTTGGCAGTCAGCCTCTACCACTTGTTAGATATTCAAGCATACATATGGGTTCATACACAAACATACTGAACCACAATCAAATCATTAAATGAAAAACCATAAGCAAAAAGTTGCTATGAATACCCCAAGCTATAAGTAATTGACTGACAACAAATTAGGAAAAATGAGTCGTGTAACAGTAGTTAATGTGTTCAACGAAAGCTTATCATAAATGGAATATAAAGACATAGTAATTCAGTTACTCTGTAATCATAGAACAAAAATATAATGAATAATACTTCGAAGAAACCAATTCCAACTTTTACAATATTCATTGTGTTATTATATATAAATATATATCTGAACCAAGGAATTTATAACCATATAGAATCCTTTGTTAAAACCAGACCACTCGTTAAAATACATACCATAAATAACCGTGATTTTTATCTATGCTATTAATATTATTATAATCCAATCATATTTGATTGAATGATTGGTCGTGTGATTAGATGTATTGATTCTACCACCTTCGCCATCATAAACAAACCATGTACAATGTAATGAACCATTATTTCATATAATCGATAAATGGAGTACAACGGGCATATGTAACGCAATATTTATAACATAAAATGATTAAAGATATTACACAATTATGTAAAATTCGAGATATTTTGGTATTGTGAATAATAGATCGTTGTTAGTTGGTCTTTTGAAGGACAAACTATATGATACAGATTAATTTGTATCCATGTATACTTTACTAAAATTACTTTTAAACATATAGACAATTCATCAAATATATATGGTTATTCAGATGGACAATCTCTACAAAACAGAATATGAGTACTTTTATGAAGTAGGGCTGATTGATTCGTTGGACAAAGTTGTATGGCTGACTTTACAGGGATATGATGGCAGTAAGGTGGTTTCCCTCAGATAACAAGAACCATTAGAGATGTTAATATTTTTACAATGAAATGATAGGACTAAGAAATGGTAGTCATAGAAAAAGTACACCTTACTTTACTTTTCATGATAAAGCATTTTAGATTATGAAGCTAACACATTACAATCTTTTTACAGAAAGATCGTGTGACCCCAAGGAGTTGTCTGTTTTGAATCTGTAGTTAAATTTCTAGATTCCCAAAATCCCTATTAATCCACTTTTATTTTCAGATCTCTAAGAAAGAAGTGTTCTTTCACGATATGATCAACTGGAAAGTGACTATTCCTCGCCATACCTATCTAACAGTAACTGAGATCATCTGAGAATTGGTTACTCACGAGATTGAATGAATTGAAATCAAAGACAAGATTATTAACAAGAAGAACAGATTTCTTTTCTATTTAATAAAATGATATTCTTATATTATAAAATATTAACACGACAATGTCACGGATAGTTTTAGGAAATCAGTTTACAGGTCACACACATATATATACTCTCTCTAATCAATTAAAACCTGATTGTTAGACCTAATTATTTTGTGTGATATTATTTACCTATCTACAAATACTATTTTATCAATGAACTTGTACAAATGTTATCTACTATGGTGGATAGAATAAACTTAAATAATCTGTACTATTGTGAAACATTAAAAGTTTCAAATGGTCAGAGTATAATGTTTGAAAAAAAGTGACATTTATTTACATGTTTCATTGAACTAATTATGTACTAGTAAATCTACAGTTTTCTAGTTGTTAATAATGACATCCTGAAATACTTAGTTCATAATGAATACAACTGTCTAATCTTTATCCTAGTTGTTTTAAAACAATATTGATAGATTAAGAGTAGATTATTATTGAGAGTGAATATGTTTACCCTTGTAATGATAACTCATAATAATACACAGATAAGAATAAATGTATTTCTAGCGAAAATGAAATCTGAATCATTAACTTATATATCAAATGGTCAAGATATGTGTCAGCTCCCAAATGCCCTGATACAGTTGAAGGTGAGGAGAGTCCACTCGCCCTCTCGAAATGCTCTCATATGGCCACGCATATACAACCACTGTCAGGGAAGTCCTACTCACTGATTTCTCTCAATGAGGGTGTTGTTTAAGAAATTGAGACGACGAGAAGCGAATGTCCGATGGAGGCTTTAACCGAGTTGATGAACACGGTGGATCCCTCTAGAGGAGTTGGAAAACCCCGATTCCAAACCAAATGTGCATATGGGCTCCAGGATCCTGAGGGAACAAAGAGCGTATGAACTAATCGTTGGTCACCGAATACCATGGGACTAAATCTCCTGACGTCGCTCCACTGTCTTGTGGATCAGACCTTTAGGTCGAAGGCTCCGGGTGTGGACCCTAAGAAAACGACCTGATTCGTCGGTTTGGGCACCCGGGGAGTATCACAGTCCACATACAAATGAAATGACTTGTGTTGCGCATATGTATTCAGTGTCCTTTTGTACCAATATTTGTGTTCAAATAAATAAATAAGATACGTGTACTTGATTTCCTATCATAATTATAGTACTCACTTGTCCAAAACAAAGAAAGTGAAATGGGATTCGAACCTGTGACTTATTGACTTAAATTCGAATATCTTAACGTTTGATCCAATTCCTCTACATATAACAAAAGTGATCAATATGTCAATTTATTTATTTATTTATTTTAACACATAGATATTGGTACAAGGAGGCACCAAATACATATGCGCCACACAAATCTCATTCGATATGTGTGAGAGCTGTGATACTGCCCGGGTGCCCAAACGGAAGCAGATGGTTTTCTTAGGGGGCCACTCCCCGAGCCTTCGACCTAAAGGTCTAAACCACAAGGCAGTGGAGCATCGTAAGGAGATGCAGTCCCATGGTAGCCGGTGACTAACAATTGGTTCATATACCATTTTTGTTCCCGCAGGATACTGGAGCCCATGTGCACCACTGGTTTGGAATCCGGTTAAAGCGCCAGACATTCTCTTTTCGTCCTCTCATTTTCGTAAACAACACCCCCGCCACGAGAAGGCAGTGAGTAGGACTTCCCCGGCAGAGGCTATATACGCGTGGCCATGTGAGAGCATTTCGAGAGGGAGAGCGGACTCTCCCCACTCTCGGCCGTACCAGGGCATTTGGGGGCAATCTGTCAATAGCTTTTAAGAATAATACCTAATACAGAACTTCAACTAACATTTTTGAGTACAGCTTCTCATATCAGATGAATTACTGATTGAAATAAAAATATTACATTGTAAATTTTCTACAATGAACATAATAATTCCAGTCATTCACGATATTAAACTTTAAATCTAATGACAATGTTAAAATGAGTAGATGTTATAAGTGAATTAATTAATTTATCATTAATTATTTCAGTCATTCGTTACACAAATTTGCCTCAGAGACAAATGAGATATCATATTGGTACGACAAAATAAATAGTAAAGTAATTGAAATAATATCGTGGCAATAATAATGAGAAAGACTGACAACTGAGAATATATCTTGAAAAGACAAAATAAAAAAAAAACAAATTTGTTCCAAGGAACATTGGGATCGAAGATTTAAAGTAAGATAAACAGTAAATGTTTAAACTTTATCGTTACCAATTTCTGACTTATTTCATTCAAAGTCTCCAATCATTTATTGAAGAGATTGTGAAAACCTTAGCCAGATAGTCTGTATTTCCCTCCCTTGATATTTATTGATACACATTCATGCAAAATTATACATATATTGATATTGAAAACAGTATAGCAATATTAATACTAATAATAACAATCGTAGTAATAATAAACTTACGTATATTAAAGCTTCACCAATATCGCTCAATACTGAATGTCGTACAGATGACATAAGAATTTTTTGTTCAGTAAGTAGTTGAACCAATAATTGAATAATTAAATCCACACTTAAATTATCCAAAAGACGAAAGAATGATTCACAACTATTGAAGGAGAATAAAAATAGGTGAACAAAGTGTATCTGTGAAAGTAATAATAATAATAATAATAAAACCTTAACCGGTTATTAATAAATATTGATTGACATAATGATTAACTATAGTAGAATGGATAGTTAAAATATGATAGATATATATAGCATTAAAACAATTCTTCATTGAACTATACAAAACAAATAAGATTTGTAAAGTAACATAGATGTAGTATGTGTATAATACAAGGTTTCTTAATCAGCTTAAAGTTACAATTAATCTGCTTTTTTTTATATGACTTCATTTGTAAGATTACAATACATGTTATATTGTACAGTGCCCGATCTTATCAATGATACACAACCTATACCATATGTAAGCTCAGTCGGCTATTTCAGTGAAAATGAAACTTTTTTGCTGAGCAACTGATTCCAGAATTAACTGTACACTCACTCGTATATATATATATATATATATATATATATACGTGTCCTTTAGAGATCCAAACTATCTACTTTTAACAAATGAGTTGTGTCATACTAATTAGAAAAGAAAGTCAAATACTGGCCAGTCACGTGCACTTATCATTTTGACGATGTCCATTGTATCATCTTTCCCTTGAGAAAAAAATAAATATAAATTCTTTGGGTTCAGCTGTAGGATTAGGGTATATTCATCAATCTTAACCATTGTGTTAAATATACTGTTTCCTCTTGATGTCCCCTATTTTTTCTCTATCATTTAGAAATAAACACCATTGATTGAAATATGAAAATTATTCTTGATAAAAAAAATTTGCGGTTGATAAGATGCTTGGAAATAAGTTGAATTTATACTACTCTGTAGAACGTATACTTCTCGCTTTATTTAAATTTACCAAGGAATTAAAATACATGGAATCTAATCTAGTACCAGTGAATGTATGCATCTTTATTGAAAAAAAATAATGGAAAAAGAAAATGAAAACATTGGGTTTTTTCTAGAAAACTCATAAATAACAAAGTTTCAAGCACGAGTTATGCTATGTTATTCAAATCATGTATTAGTTTTAATTGCGAATTTGATATTACCATTAAGCAGGAAACCTCAGTACAGTATATATATAAGCATGGTGTGGTTGTAGAGTTTGTACGCTTTTCATGATTTAAATAATGAACTGATCATGGCTAGACAACCATTGAAAACCATGAAGCACTGTAGAGCTGTTTCATCTTAGTATGAAACGCCTCACTGGCAATGCATATCTACGACCCCACCCTTTGGGGTTTAAAGCCAGGGCATTTCGTTTCATGTGCCAATGTTTAACTTTCAAACTACTGATACGACGTTCAATGATGTACATATCTAACTTTAGGAATCACTGTGGTTCTAATGAGAAGCCGTGACCAGAGGAATTTGACCATGTCGGGTGTGGGAAAGTTATCCACCACAAGCAATAGCATTGTGAATTGTTTAAATTAGATATGTACATTATCAGATACTGGACTAGTGGTCTAAAGGTGTTAGGGATTCACATTCGACATCGAAGGTCCTGGATTCGAAGCGCTGTAGTGGGGTCGCAGAAGCACATTCCCATTGAGGAGTCTCGTATTGAGATGAATCGACTATATAGTACTTACTGATTCCCAATGGTGGTCTGGTTAAGATCACTTTATTTTTTAAATTATTGATATATATTATTAATATATATACATATACACATATATGGGGAAAGTATAAGGAGTCAGTAGTCCTCAGTTAATATGTTAATAACGAGGGCGATAAAGAAATGCTAAGGCGATGATAGTGACCCCACATATTACTGTTATCTGAGAGAAAGTGTAGACGATAAGTAATCCACGATACGTCAGATATATAATCCACCAACTATTCGTAAACATTATCGGTTACGTATCGGGTAAATATCTAATTACATAAATACTCAAATCAATCGTATCTTTGTAGTTGAGTATTTGATAAGACAATGAGTGACCTGCAGTCATTACGAATTGAACTTCCAACTAAGGGATAGACTAAAATAACTGGTCTGTTGATCAATTCAACAGTATAACCGCCACAATATATTGTTGAACACCAGATTTACCTGACGTTGGACAATCTCCAAATGAGTGTCCCAATTGTACCTGGAACAGATATTAGTTAGACATTTACGCACAAGACTATACTAGGTCAATATTTAGATATTTTATCAACCGAACTGTGAGTAATCTACTTCGTTTACACTATGATTATCATAATTGTAAAGCAAATAAAACTGATGACTAGGGCCATGGGACTATTGGAAACACAAATTTTTGCAATCATGATTTACAGCTAAGAAGTACTGTTTACATCTATGCAAAAGGAACAACTTATGATGTTGGCAGGTCACAGATTGAATTAAGGCATGCTGGAGCACACTGATTGGTTTAGTATTAATCAAACAGCACCAAAGGATAGGCCAAGATGAGTCCAGAACCTTCCAGTATGTAAATATATACATTACCTTAACTTCAATTCAAATTTAGTTAACTCGCTTTTTTATTTGGGCATATAATACTTTAATCTACGCAAAATACTTCAGATCCGTTGGCCGGACACTATTAGCAACAACGTACTGTGGGAAAGAACAAACCAGATCCCAGCAGAGGAAGAAATCAGGAAGAAGTGATGGAAGTGGATAGGACACACATTGAGGAAAGCACCCAACTGCGTCACAAGACAAACCCTCATATGGAATCCTCAAGGCCAAAGGAAAAGAGGAAGACCAAAGAACACATTACGCCGGGAAATGGAAATAGACGAGAAAAATGAACAAGAATTGGATGGAACTAGGAAAGAAGGCCCAGGACAGAGTGGGTTGAAGAATGCTGGTCAGCGGCCTATGCTCCATTGGGAGTAACAGGCGTAAGTAAGTAATATAATACTTTACTGCTTAAATGGTGTTTTGGGGACCAATCTAGTGAGGTAAGGTTTCCGAAGAATACTAAATTATACATATAACTTGGTCCGATAAGAAGAAGAAAACTTAATATACGGCTAAAAAAATTACAAGTTTAATATTGTTCAAATGAACATCAAGTATTAGAGAAGGGAACAACGCACATCATCACTACCAATCATCAATCATAACTGTAATCAATACAGAAATCAGGAAAACATGTCAGTATTTCCTATCGATCATCAAGACAATTACATATTAGTCCTTTTTTCAATAATAAAAGTGCAATTTAGTGAGTACACACACACACACATGAGCACAGATTGTGTGTGTGTGTGTGTGTAATCATGTAGATAATTAATTACAAAAAAAATTATTATGATATTGAAATTACAATAAAGATAATGCCAAAGAAATATATATTAGTTGCTAGAAGATGCACACACATACACAAAACAAGTAGTATAGAATACAGTTCCACTTGTATTTAATATTAATCATTGTGTATTAATGAGAATAAGAATATAAGACGAATATGTATTGCTTTGAGTCAAATTTAGTTTATTTATTTAATGTTTATGGTGCGTATTTCAGAAAAAGACAATGGATCATGGGATAGTAAAAAAAAAATATGACAAATTCAATAATACATAAATATATTCATGTAAATTATGTACGATGATTAAAGGTAAATTTTACATGGTAAGTGCATGAATGTATTTTGTTAGTCAGTCAATTTATAAGGAACGTAGAACTTTGAATATTATGTTTATTGATTCAAGTTGGCACAGTCCACATCAATGTAGTGAGATGAAATTGTCAGGGTGAATCTCAGAGTAGTAACAGTATTAATGGTAGTAGAACAGTTTAGGTTCAGACAATATGGTTCGAGATAGATTCATGGAATAAAATATAATGTGAAATGGAAATGTACCATTTCAACCGATTCTGAGTCATATCATCTAACCACTGGGTAATGATAATAGCATGGATCTTGATCACGTAATCTAAACATATCAACACAGAACGATCTAACAGTCAATAACTTCATGAACTGTTATTACATGTCTATGTTTGGCCATCCCTAGCTTTCTTTCAGTCTACTTCTAAATCAATTAGTAGTATTGTTTCTTTTTTAGTGTAGTATAATGCTGAGTAATAAATGTTTCTCATTCTCTACTTCATTCAAAACTAAGGATAGAATTAACTACTTAAAAAGTAGACTTATTTAAACATGAATTAAATTAAGTAATCCAAAGTTTATGTATGTCAACTATGGTCTTCGGATTTAATTTAGTCAAGTGTACGCTAATCAATGCTTCGTCAACTGGCTACACAGAGTAAGACGATGAAGAGTTAATAAGAGTACCTCTCAACATATTGAATAATAATGTACACAATATTACGTATATAATTAGACTGATTCAGAAAAGAATATGTAGGCGTGGACCTTGGTTAAGTGAATAACTAAAAATAATCACCATACAATTGCATAACTCAAAACATAACATATCAGTCAGTCAGCTACAACGACTGACATAAGTCTGTTTGATACATATTTTTTGTCTTTCAGTTCAAAGTGTCAAAATTGTAGATAACAGATATATTATCACGCCTTCTTACTAAAGTGAAAATGAATTTTAATTTCAATGTTCAGATAGATGATTTGTGTTGTTAACAAACAATATTTAGATGATACTAATTCAAATCAAGTTATGTAGAAGTTAAAAGGCTTAACAGTTCTACTACATATTCATTGATTCCTCATCTATCTCTGTTCAGTAAGCATTTATCAAATTGATTTAATGGAGCATTAAACTGAAAAGAATAAACAATAATCGATAGTGGCTAGCAGTGGAATCCAGGATGTGCGTCTCGTCCTACTCGAAACTCGTCAGCTGGATGTACCTGCATCTCAGAGTTGATGTTCACTCTGGAACTCGAACCCAGTACCATTCGCTTCAAACGCCATCGCCTTATCCACTTAGCTACTGAGTCCTCACAGCCACTTGCTTGTGCAATGGGGTGAATTTAAATTCACTTGGTATTATTTGGCTTGTATCTTCCCATTGAGGTTTAAGACTGCAATTGATCAGTCTGTTATCGGCATATGTGTATATTGTGCGTATGCCTCGATATTGCCTCAATTCACAAGCTTTTTGTTAGCAATGATGAATAATGGCTAGCAGTGGAATCAAGGACGAGCGTTTCGTTCTATTTGGGGTTCGTCAGCTAGATGTACCTGCATCTCAGAGTTGATGTTCACTCTGGGAATCGAATCCAGACTGATCAATCACAGTCTTAAACCTCAATGGGAAGATACAAGCCAAATAATACCGAGTGGATTGAAAAGAATAAATGTTAAAAACTACAGTAAATACACTAAATATTTGTTCAAATTAGCGAACATATTTTCTTAAGAAACTTCACCAAGACAAAAGTATGAAGGGTATACCTACCTTGAAGAAGATGCATTAGTGTCATCTGGACGTTGAATTAGAATAGGAGCAGCACATAGCTAGAAGTTGTTAAGAAAGGTAAAAGTTGTACAGTATGTTAATAATTGAACAAAAACTATTATTTAGTAGAAAATACAGTCAAAAATATTTCTTTTAGATGAGGTTTATGTTGCACAGAGGAAGAATATGGTAGAAAATAACAACAGGAGCCATGGTCTGATAACCTGTCCATCATATTAGATGTACCACCTCTGAAACGCTAACCAAAGAGACGAAATGGGCCGACGAATGCCAGTAATATACAGCTAACTTCTACGGCTCAACGCCATCAATTAACTGCTTCTAATTTTATTCAGTTCTACAGTCTCAAAATAATTGAAGTCACAAAGACTAATGCCCCAAGATGGTGATACCAATTGAGTTATCATTACTATGTCCGAACGAACACTGAGAGAGCTCAGGACTAGCCGCAGAATGTTGCTACTGAACATGGACAATTCTTCTGAAAAAATGGTGATTGAACAGTCTCCGAGCATTCTAATCTTCAGGATGCCAGGTTTTAAATATTTGATCTTTGATAGATAGACTAACGATGCGAGGATATCAAAGAAGACCTACATTGGCGTAATTCGCTCTGGACTTCATTATACATCGACTAATCTGGACTGCTACCTCACAAACAGAACAAACACAATCAGTCATAGACGAACTCCTTGAATATTCTCGACGGTTCGTTACAAATTATAACAGTAATTTGAGTAGCCTTCGGTGTCATCACACAGTAAAGCAATATTACCCACATACTGAAGGCCGATGGATTCACACTACCACATACCTTCCCTCAAGGCTGTTCCCAGAATGTCATCCGCGGTTAGATTCAAGAGATTGAGTATACGAGCGTAATCCCATTGCTGGATTGGAATAGCAGAGAAAGATGATTGTATACCCTCATTAAAAGAGGTGTTTATGTACGGATAGTTTAAGATGTTGATAAAAAACTTATACACAATTTCCTTTAATCGATAATCTTAAAGCAAAATCTTGACTAAAGAATCTATCGTTCAGTGAAGAAAATAACACAAACCGTATCGAATAAAAACCCACAGGTTTTATAGTATGCTGTCTACCGTTTCACATTGTCTAAATATTTAATACAATTAGAAAGACAACATTACTTAGCTAAAGAAAAGACTTACATCAACAGATATACTTGGTATTGCTCGATCAGGAAAAGGAATTTCAAATAAGAAATAACCTAAATACCTAGATATGAAAAATGTTTCATACAAAAGTCAAATGAAAACAAATATAGAGAAATAGTAAAAAAATACCATTCTTAATCAAAACTACAAACAAGCGAGCTGATCAATTGAGAAATAAAAATTTAATTTAATTGATATTACAAGCCGACTTAGGGTGGATATCTACTGAAAACCAGGAAGTACTTGGCAGCTACTTCATCTTAGTAGGGAATCGTCAATAGTGCATTTTTATAGACCCGCTATAAAAAGTTGACCCCAATGCCTTCAGTTTCGCACACGAACATCTGACACCTCTAGACCACTGAAAGCCGCCATTCAATGGAGTAAATGTCTAAAGTTAGTCAATTTACAATATTGCACGAATATCTTTCATTGTTCGCGGTGAACAGCTAACCCACACTCGACATTGTTGAACTACATTGGTTAAGGGTTCGCAGTGGCAGTCCCAACTAAGATCAGTTCGGGATTTAAAATATGAAAAAAAATATTGTCGGCATTTATAAAAAACCAGATGTGTTATATCCGGGCGAGAATAAATGAATGGTAACTGTCAGGATATATTTACGGACCAACATTATACGAATATTTTTATTGTATGACTACCAAATGACTATATTATATGCATATTCATATTCCTTTCATTATAAACTCTTATTTGACCTATTGACTATTACTACTCTTGAGATATTCCCAATTTATCACTAACAGTTTCTCCCAATCAGATCCACTTTTGGCTAGGTCTTTTACAAACGTTATGTTCCATTTTATGGTACGATGTGGTGTTTAGTTTGTATATAAACCAACTATGTTTGGAATATACGATTCATATCGTGGAGGTTGAGATTGGTGTTCTGAACTTAACAGGCAGGGCTAGACGAAAAAAGAACCAACAGGAAGTCTAGGTCGCTTGTACTGGTGCATGCGTCACTAATTTGATCATATAAGTCAGAGTATCTAAATTTGGCAATCGTATTTCGTAATATTGTATAGCTAAGGTCATGTCAATATGTTATCTAATTCATTTGTAAATGAAGAGCTGGTTGGAATGATCTTGATATAGGACCAGACAATAGACAGAAGGAATGAATATTTATTGTGAAAGATTACAGAGTATTTGTACAATACGTATACAAAGCTTTCGATCATCCATTAGCATCTTGTGGTGTGTTCTGAAGACTGAACTATCTTCTCGTCTGGCCTTCTAGTGTTCCGTTTACGACGTGTTTTTCGTGTACCGATCCTCTACTCTCCATCTGACGACTGACAGCCTCGAATTTGTGTTCCGCTACACATCTACAAACAATCTTGTGAATAGTATCCATCACAGTAGCAGTTCTTCTTCCTGTCTCCTTTTAAATTTAACTAACATAAATATTGGATTGTTATAATTAAGTAGTAGTAAGATTTAGCCCAATTATTGTTGTATTTTTCTTCAAGTAACATATAAATACGCATCAATCTGAACTATTATAATAAGAGTTTTCGTCCTCTTACTATGGACATTTTGTGATATTTCTAACACCCTATTTCATTAACTCCATTAACTAATGTATATCAAACTTTTGTTTACAAAAAAACGATACTTTTTCTTGTCTTAGTCTGTTCGTGATTGATTACTCTTCGTGAAGGAGCATAGGTCGTTCATCAGCATTATATGCTGATGATATGTATGATAAATATTAGATTTTGACAAAAATATAGGAAAGTAATTCTTACCGTTCAAATGGAATATTATCCAAATTATTTGATAACAAACATCGACTGTATAGAAATCCCAAAAAATTAGAAAATGGTAAAGTGAATGACCAACGAGAAAGTATACAAAGAGTTTTCGTCACACCAATAACACGATCACCAACACGTGATGCTAAAAAATGACGTTGTCGTTTAGCTATTGCCTCTTCATTAGGATCATATTCATGATTTACTGAATCTGTACTAGATCTGGAATTAATTAACTCTGGATCAACTCCTAAACAGTAGCATTTATGTAGATCTAATTCTTCAATATAAGGTTCATAGAAAGTAAGTGCAACACCATAAAGCTAGGCGATACACACAGAAAAAACAAGTAAACGAAGAAATGTTATTATCAGATTTATATCATGATATCGAATCTATGGTGTTTTAATAACGTAAACCAATCAAACACAATGATGAATTTAACATCAGAATTAATCAGTTATAATCATTATTTTGAGACTGATGCACCGCAGTTAATTAGTCACTGAGTAGTAACCAATATCATATTTGTACAGTGGCGCAAATTCGTGAGTTGGTTGAAGTTAGACATTAGCACCATTGGATGCCGGTTCAGTGGTCTAATGGTTAAGCGCTCGCGCGCGAGACTGATAGGTCTTGGGTTCGAATCTCGTGAGGCGGGATCGTGGGTGCGCACTGCTGAGGAGTCCCATGCTAGGACGAAACAGCCGCCCAGTGCTTCCAGTTTTCCCATTGCGGTCTAGCTTCAATTGACTAATGATTTCAACTATTGAAATACAATATTTGTCTACTCATCCACTGCTTGACGATCGAATCCCATTGCTCAGGCTGCAGTCCCAATAGCTCGGTGGTAACGTTTCAGATTGTGAAGCTGAGTAACTTAAGTTCAAATTCTACAAGGAGCATCAGTTCCCTCAAGATTACAGGTACGACTTGTCGATGAATGCTAATTAACATGGAGTATGAGTCAAGTAGAGATTCCTGCCGACTGTCTTCGATCCCTTAACATTAGTGTGCTATTTTTTATACAAGCGCTAGAAACGATGTTCTAAACGTCAATTCTGTAGTAAAAACTAAATTGAACATTAACATTTATAAAAACTAATCAAATATAAGCCTATACAGAATAGAATAACATGCGGTGAAAGTTATTTGAACAGGTAAAAATAAAATGAGATTATGAACAGGCAAACAAATAAGGTTGTTGATGGTCATTAAAATCAAGGTTTCATCACGTTCAGATTGGCCATAAGATAAATAACTAGGTAGCTAAAAAAATGTAAGTCGAGAAGAACATTTTTAGCGATATTTATTGAATTTACCAACGCTTATTAACATCATTTATTATTCATTGTTTCTTTTTTGGAGAGATATTTTTTGCCCGAAAACAATGGATAGCTATGACAAACTAGTAAGTGATGAAGAGCTTGCTTTTTACTCAGTTCACACAAAATCTGGTACAACTGCGGACCAAAAATAGTATGCATCACACTAAAAATTGGTAGGTGTGGCCTTGGATACTGCTCAGGAGTCCAAACCAAAGTGGATAATTTTCTGAGGAAGCCATTCTACAGGCCTTAGACTTAGAGGTTTAAACCAAAAAGCAATGAAGAAACGTTAAAAGATGCAGTCCCATGGTGACCAAAGACTAAGAACAGGTTTGTCTGTTAATCGTTATCTCAGAACCCCAGAGGTCAGGTAAACCAATGGCCTAGAATTTTCTAAATATCTCAGTTGAACCTTCCTTATCAGCCAGGTCAGTTTCAGCGTTAGACACTCGCGTTTTATTCCTCATACTTTCTGTACATAATTCGCGATTTTGCACTGCTATCTTGAATTATCTTAAGTGGGCACCTTCACACTCGACACGGTTAAACTTCATTGGTCATGGTTTCTCACTGGAATGCCGAAAATTCCCCACAGATAGTTGCTAGTGAGCACATAACAACTATCAGTATAAGGGGTGGATGCGCACTGCTGAGATTCCCATACTAGAACGAAACGGCGGCCAAGTCCTTCCAGGTTTAGCGTTGTCGTCTGATTTAGGTCGGTACATGATCTTATTTTTTATATATATATAATTTAGTTTAGTTAAATAATCTTTTCCCGCTCATCTTTTCTTTCGAGTAGCTGGGCTCGTATATAAGAAGGAGGTGCATCAGTATCAATCCCCGGACACAGTACGTCACAATAACCAGGATAATGAAAACACAAAACCGATATAATTATTCTCCAGAGAATTATTCTGCACATTTCAAAGGGGTATCGAACAAACAGTTCAATTATGCAATAGAATGCTATATTTTTACAGATGAAAAAGTAACGATCAGTTAGCTAAAAATGGGTAACTCAGTTTTGCATTCAAACTGCATCATTCGCTTATTTCCTGAGGTTTTCATGCACTATGGTCAAGTAATTTACTCAAGTTCTTTTTATTTACAAATTAGATCAATTAAAACTTCTTGTAACTACACACTCTAAGTTCTGTTATTCTAATTAGAGGTTTTGAAAAGTAGGAATGATTGATACATATCGATCGAGTGAAAAATGAAACAATAACAACAGAGTTATAGGATTTACTATCAATAAGGACAGATATGAGTTTTGAGTCATAGTTAGAATGCTATATATATTGCGGGGAAAAAATCATACCAACCTTTTGGTAAGCTTCATTTGTAAGCATAAATGTGAAAGAATTAACTTCAGGTGGATCTTGATTCACAGACCATGATTCAATTGATGCACCCCATGGAAGACAGAAATTGGCTACTTGAAATATATCCGGATCTAATGGAGCAACTTGAGATTCTTTATTTTCATTAAATAAATCAAAATTTTTTAAAAAAATAGTTCAGTTTAAATTCTAGAGTAGAAAGTAACAAACAATTTTACGCCTCTGATGGTCATTTTTAACGAAGAATAAGTTAAGATGACCATCGGTAACCAAATATAATTAACGACATAGGATGTTAGGGAAACAGAGAAAAACGACTGCTTAATATTGCGTCTATTTTATAGTGATTCACTGAATGAAATCGATTTATAGTATCAAGCATTTTTAACGTGATAAAAACGATGAAAATTCATAGGTATTTTTGATCTTACTTAAAACCACTCCTTGTGTAATTTTCGGACGAACTAACCAGAAAACCCTCAGTGTACTGTCAGATAATATTTATCAGTGTGAAATTAGGATGTAGTGTCACCAGGAGATTAATATTTTCAAGAACATGTAAATCATCAAACTTGAAAGGTAGATTAACGGACGTCTCTCCTCACAAATAGTTATGCGTAGCTTAACTTCTTAATATTTGTTGCTTCAGTCGAGAAAGGAAGCTGTGATTCATTGATTTAGAAACTTCCATTTTAACCAATTGGTAGTAGGATTCTGACTTAAATTTTCTTACCTGGGACTAGACGATCAAAGAAAATCTTTCACACAGAAAACTAGACAGGATAATAAAAAAATATACGAGTCTTCAAATGAGTACGTTAAAACTATAATAATCTGTTAAATAAACTAACAGTTATTATTAGAAGAGATTCATTCGAAGTTTGAAAATACATTATTTTATTAGTATCACAGTTCCCAATGAACAGTGCTAATGATAAACAATTTATACTTCAATAGTTTGTACTTTTTTTATTTCAAAACGGACAAAAACTGCAACCATCCGTTTATAATAAACGATTAACTAGAAAAAGATATCATGTTATTTAATCATCAGTGTTAATAAAGGCTTCGTCTATCACATCATAAAGCGATTGGCGGAGTAAGGGACCTGACATCTTGATGAATTATTTTCGATGTTTAATAACACTCTATGTAGTTTATCGCATTATCAACTACGAGATTAGATATTACATTTTTATGGTCAAATAACAAAGAGATGGGTTACCACTGAAATCAACAACTTACGGTTTTACTTACAACCTGAGAAAACTTTTCTGACTAAATTAACATACCTGGTGTAAAATCTGAACAGGTTTTATCATCCATCCAATTGTTGAGTTGGTCACACATTTCAGGAGGGTCATTAGATGGTTTGTTGGGAACAACCAAGGGATACTGCGAATTTTCATTATGTATACTGGGATTTGAAAAATTGTAATCAACGCTTGGAACTCTATACCAATATAATACCTCAGGTTTATAGGAAATTATACATTGTTTTACAAGTGACTTGCGATAACAAATATAGGCTTTTAATCTGAACTAGAGATAGTAATAAAACAGATAAAGGGGAATTAATCATATGAACGAAAATTGTAATAAAAAGAAATGCCTAGATTTCGTACTGAAATACATATAGAAGTATCAGTTTAACGAAATTTACGTTGAGTAATTTATAATTCAACAATTATAAATCTAAACAATATTAGGCTACAGTTCTAAACCCACTACATATACATCAAACTCGAGCGCAACCAAGAAACCCTGTAATTCACGTGGTATTTACATCGAACATCTGCGTACACTTGTAGTACAGTGGCGAATAGATCGCACTCAACATAGCAATTTCAAGAACATAATACAGAACCAAGAAATGCCAACTATTAGCGGCCATATGGATAATGTAAATCAACAAACTGAATTATAGGTATCCTTGTGACTAGTGACGAAGAATTGATTGACATAAATGGTGAAAAAATAATATGTGTTGTGATCCCAGTACTGTAGATAAAAAAAATTTGAAATTATGTTATGATCTTCGTCATTATATGTGAGTAGCGCAGGGAGGATCGTTAAAATAGATCAGTAATCTGAAAAGTCAGTCAGCCACAACGTAGAACCAGGCACATATATGAATCGGTCCAAGTTGCAATACCTCATTAGCAGAAAATGAACGCCAAATTCATAGAAGTAGTTAATTCAATGGTGGAGAAATATAAAAAATTGCATATAAGGATATAGTACAGAAAGAAATAGTTGGTAGAAAGAAAGAAAGATATAAAGCAATTTTAATCTCATAGTTCGAGGAAAGACAGAGTGCATACACCTACGCCATTGTGATCGATCCTGAGCCATGTCACCCAGAGTCTCCAACCATGAGTCACACGGTAAACGAATAAGCTTAATTAAGAATCTCGCTGCAATCAAAAACCGATCGAAGTCAGGCCACCATTGAAAACCTGGAAGCACTGGACCGCCGTTTTGCCCTAGTATGGGAATCTCAGCCGTGCGTATTCACGAACCCGTACGCGGGAATCGAACCCAGGACTTTAGGTTCCACGCACGAACACTTAGGCTCTGGACCACCAAGTCGATATCCAACAGTGTTAATCTCTAATTCCAATCAATTCACAACATTCTGCGACCATCTTCTACTGTCTTCAGTGGGTAACTACGTCGCACCCAACACAGATTAGCTCCACTGGTCACGGCCAGGAATTGCTTTTTGAAGCTACTCATTAGTGAGCATATGATAACTGTCAGTAAGGGGTTGTGGAGATTGTTGAATATGATTGAGAATTGCGTGAATAATTTATTCGTTTGACTGTAGTAAGATTTTCTGGAACATGAGATAAACGTCTTTGAAAAGGCTATTTTTGAAGAAGTTTCCAACCGAAAAGTCTTCGAATTTTAGTTACGGAGATACTCAGTATGAAGTCAACTTTGAACTGGACTTCAAGGTATAACATCTATGAACCCCTAGAAATATTACAATTAAATTATGCAAAAGTAGAACTCACTGAACTTATACATATAGGTTCCGTGACTTGTCGGTAAGCTGGAGGACAAGTCTCTTGTTTTTCCGGAATGATAATACATAGATCAGTTACTGCTAGGCAGTCAATGCTGTTCTCGGCAGTACCTCGTAGATATGATAAAAACAAACGGTTCGTTAAAGAACTGGGTAAGTCCGCAGCACGACCTCCAATAGTTCTTGACAAAACCACCGCGTTAGTTTTAGGGCATTGTTTCTCTCCCAAAGTGCTATTGATTTCGGAAATAAAAATCACTGAGATTTTTCAAGAGACAATGAAATCACGATAATTGGGAAAAAATGACGAGATAAAACAGGAAATTACCAGACTTAAATTGCAAATGATCCTAATGCGAATTATTTGAAAGTATTTTGCCTTAAGACAACAATACAAAACTTAAGTTCGCGAAAATAGGGAACTCAAAGATATCATTCAGCAACTTAGATTTAAGCTTCCAAATAAATTTTCATCGTCAATTGTATATCCAACTTAATGGTCATCTAACTTCCAGTATAATTATCAAGAAACATGAGCAGTTTCCTCAGATACCTTTCTGTACTCTTCAAACTGTCGAAACATTTTATGAAAACTATATCACATTAAGCTGCGAAACGTCAAAGATATAACTTTCTGTTCATTACGATATCACAAAAATACATTTATTACAGAAGTATGGAGATATTGACAATAATCTTTTCTATACTTCATAAATACAGCCAGATATTTTTTTCGTCTAGGGCACATAAATTTGCCAGGGACCACTGTCCTCAAAGTACACCAGAATACAAATTTTTGACATAACGTGGGTCTTCCTCGAACATGCGATACATAGGCACAGGAAGGCACTGCCCTATAATATATTATAACATTCTGCGAATTCGGATGCAATTTGTGAAAGAAAATAGTTGCGTGAATGGTGTAGTGCTTAAACCTATAGTACCAGACGACCAGTCTTCGCATATTGGAGCAGAGCAAAATGGATTCACTTGCACCAGATATATCGGTGGGCCGGGATTGGTGTGGACATAAACAAAGCCAAGAAACTGGTTTTACTTATTTAAACAAAACGCACGTTCAATGCGCAGCTATCACCATCTAAATCTTCGCAGAGTATTTATGCTGACTAATCAGATTAATTTTCCAACTCGTGATACGGCTTTGCTATGTCAATTATTATTCCTTATGTCCAGGAGTAATACCTACGAGTAGTTTAGGTTGGACGTTTACTCAAAAGATATTTATTTGGGGAGATATTATTGATCGATGATGAGAATAACTTCGCAGATTTTAACTGGCTTAAGGATAAAGCGTGTCGCAACGAATTTACAGCTCTATACCATTTTTAGTCAAGGATCTGGCGAAAACCTTAGAGTGCAAGCACATCAGTAAATCCAAAAACTTCATGAGCTAAATTTGTGGTTGGACTGTGTTCTAATCTCAAACCAAACAAACAAGATAGACTTTATGTCTGTGCGAAATCCCATAAACAAAACAGGAAAACATCCAAACTCTGTAGAGGATTCCTTTAAGTTCTAAGTCTCTTACAACTGATGATAAAAAGCCATATGTGGCAACGTGGCGTGAAAGCGAAATGAAATGGAACGATCGCTTCTGATGTAGATTTTATCCGAAGCATAACTCCATAAGAATTCGTTGTTTATTTAAAGTACACTACTAAACAAATGGTATTATTACTAGTATAGGGGTTGTGGAGATTATTAAGTTTTTGATTGAGATCTTGAACCAATTGATGTTAGACCATCACAATTGAAAACCTGGAAGCACTGGACGGCCGTTTCGTCATATTGTGGGACTCCTCAGCAGTGCGCATCCACGATCCCGCGAGCGGGATTCGAACCCAGGGCCTTCGGTCTCGCGCGCCAACGCTTAACCAACTGGACCACTGAGCCGGCATCCAATGGTGATAGTTTCTAACATCAACCAATCCACGAAATTGCGCGACCAACTTCCATTGTACTTAAGTAGATAACTGTCTCTACCCGACAAGGATTGGTTGATGTTAGAAACTATCACCATTGGGTGCCGGCTCAGTGGTCCAGTTGGTTAAGCGTTGGCGCGCGAGACCGAAGGCCCTGGGTTCGAATCCCGCTCGCGGGATCGTGGATGCGCACTGCTGAGCAGTCCCACAATAGGACGAAACGGCCGTCCAGTGCTTCCAGGTTTTCAATTGTGATGGTCTAACATCAATTGGTTCAAGATCTCAATCAAAAAATGGTATTATTGTTAATTGTAAGCATTTTTGTAGTGTATATGTCAGGAAACTTCAGCGATTTATTTACACTGGTCCTAGATAGCTGAATCATAATAGAATTTTGCCGACCTAAACACGAACATTATGGTAAGGCATGATGCGTATAAAACTTAGGGATATAATAAACCTTTCGAAAAACTTGACTGTCTGCAAAAAAACTTCTTCAGGATAATGATGATAATAATCAACTTTTAGATATGGAATCAAAATAATTATGATCTAGTTCCCGAGTAGTAAGGCTTTCAACAATCATTTTCAGGAACTGGTTGAATTTTCCGAAAATTCTAAAGGTAACCAAATTCCTGGTCGCGATAAGACCTCGTTTTGCAAGACGACTAGAAGTGAGTCAATTTAGTCGGCTTGTTGCACAAAATCAAAATCGACTAGTGAATATTAATGCAAAACTAGGCGAATAACCCATTCTTTAACCAGACATAACTAAATTCAGTGTACAAGGAACGTCAAGTAGACATAATCGCATTAAGTCTACAAGTTGAGGATTGGATTTTACTGAACAGAGGTAGATATGAGAGATAAAGAACATGCACGTGAAACGTTGTATAAATAATAGACAATAAACGTACTCGATATCTTTTATAAATGGTTGATCTCGTCCTCTACGGTAACATATACAGGCCTCCTCTCCAAAATTCAAAAGGATGTTGGCTTTGTGCTTCCCAGAGACACTGTATTTAATACATGTATACCCTTCCGGTATTTCTTCTTTCTCTCTTAAACTAACAATCTAGAAGAACTTGTTGGACAATCGAAACAATATACCCCACCTTAATATCAACAATAGGTTCAGGGAATCGCGTGAAGTCAATCGAAGTATTGGGAGCGATTATCTCCTCCGCATGTGTAAGGATCTTGAACAAGTAATAATTAAAATTTATTATGCTAACCTTGGAAACGTCATATGGACTTGGATTCTTGGGCAAGCCACAAATCACAAAATATTCTGCAAGACGTTCCGGGAGACTCTGAGTTTTCATGATAATAGGATTTATTATTGAACTTCACAAGTCATGGATTTCCATCATATCATGTGGATGAGTTAATAGTTCAAGTTAACTAGACCGATCACCTTCAATGACCCGCCTGTAAACGTTAAAGAAATCAACATATTTAAGAGAAATATCCAATTTCTTCATATCGTTTATTTATAGACCTGTTTACTTCTACTAGCCCTTGAGTTAAAAATAGTTGCACAATAATAGTGATAAAAAGCGCATTTATTGTGTTCGTATTGTGACAATAATTCTAGAAAGCTTAGTGTGTACACAAGGTTTTTCCTGATATTAAAATGTCTTAGAGGACCAAAAACCTAACAAGAAAACTTGTGAGTATCACATAAAACATGAATCCCAATTCATTATTTCTGTTTGTCCCGACAAATTTTCGCAAAAATAAAATGTATGTATATAGTCAGTTGAAAAACCTTGTAAGCAATAATAATTTATAGCATCGTAAACACCCACAAGCACCTTAACTACTTGCTTGGGCTCGGCTCCAACACATACCTTGTGGACAATACTCAGAAAGTTGGGACACAGAACAGTGAAATGGGTTGTGGCCATACCTACTCTTTATGAGTGGTCAGCAGTACTTCATGAAGAAATTTGACATGTTCTTAAGCAGTCAGGACAGTTTTTCGCTACAATTTACTCATGCTTTTACCTCTCTCGTTAAGTGTACCCAAGCTCCTACCTAGATTGAATGAAGATCCACTGCATCTAGATACGGAAACCTGTCGAGTGAACTCTTCTTGTATTCCATCCACAAACATTTTTATTACTTGAGCTTGAGTTTGCATGTGCTTGAATTTATTAAGCTCTTTAATCACCTGGCCATCAAGCAGTTTTATTTTCATCGATAGGATTTTATCCATATGTTTTCATATATTTATTCCTGCGCTCATATAGACGTCTGATTAATAATAACGATACTATTACTGTCAAATCAGAAATGAAGAGGTTTAAAGATGTATTTAGAAGGCCATCGATATTTCGAAAAGCGTTTGGTCATAGCTGGCTAGTAATTACAAAGGATATGTAGCACGGCGTACCCACACGTGATCTGGTGCCGATGCGCGAACGAGAGCCTTAATCTAGGATGTGTCCGGTAAAACCGATGAGGCCGGCATCAATGCCAAGGACTTACAGAACTATTTACTTTGGGGACATATCTACCGCTACAATCACGTGACGACTCATTTATATACTTTCCTAAACCTACCAAACGTAGGTTACTGAAAGCGCCTGATAACTCGTTCTTATGCTTTGGTGCATATGCTTGTGAAATCACATTACTTTATTTTCGTTCTTACATTCTCAACAATCAACTCATTGGTCAACACGTGCCTTGTGTCGTATGCTAGTCTATCATTTGGCGCGTGTTCTGATGAAATAAACTAATGAGGCGGCTTCGTATTCCCATCTGAAAATTATACACCGTTGGGAATGGCAATAATATTCATCAGGTTGATTGACACATAAGGTTTAAGGACAGCTTTGAATATATATCTCGCAACATAGTAACCGATCAAGTTTTCTCCCTCAGACAGAGAATGGGTCTTTCCACCCATTTGATAGCACTTTAGATAATAATGAATATTGAAATAAGTTGCTACTAGGTGAAGAAGTGTGGTTTTTGTACTTGATGATGATTCGTTTGTATTTGACTTGGAGTGTATTACCAATCCCAAACAGCACATTCAGTTGTGCTTAGTTAGAACCAGAAGGTTCACTGCATTGGTTTCCTTTAAAAATTGGCTTGATATGCGTTAGCTCACATTTGTCTGGGACCGTGCCCAGGCTTAGGAAATACGAGAGAATCACAGCAAGCCGTGTTGCAAAGACTGGAGCTGCTTCACTTAGCATTAGATAATAAACCATTTCCTGGCTAGAAATGTCCTTGTTTAGAAACTACAGTTTTTGATACCTAAATCCGGAACTTAGATTTACCTCTGGGACAACCTTTGGGTTACAGGTAAAGCTCTCGTTAAGGCAAGTTGTGTGAAACGATTGAAATTTTCAGGAATATCGTCTTGTCAGGAGCTCTGAAGCATTATGGTCGCTGCTGGTTCGGCTTTAAGATCTAACAACTGGGGAACTCTGGATTTAGTTCCTTGGCGAGACTGCATATGACAGAATAAGCTTTTCTATTGAGAGACAAATTTATCGTTCGTTTGTATTCCGCCTAATGGTATTCAAATAGTACAACTCCTTTCGACTGTAAGTTGCTTGTACTTTTTGAGGGACGTTTGCAGAACAGACTAGTTTGTAGCATGTAAGGTAGTGAGAATTAAGAGATCTTAAGGAGCGTCGATCATTACACTTGCAGTGAATTATTTTTTAAAGGTGCAAGTCTAACGCCCACGATTAGTTGGAAGTCTTAGCTCAGTTGATCCAGAAAAACGGAAAGCTCTGAAGGCGTGAAAACTTTGTACCTGATAGAGCTAGGGTTTAGATGTTATTAACTAGTTTAGAGAACCAATCTAAGCGCTGCGGTGTTTTTTGCATCGAGTTTCTGAGTTCATGTCTTTAAAAAGTTGAGGTTGAAGAAACAAGACACAATATAGCTGTAAACTACATCTTACGTGTATCCAGAGAACTTGATCTTAGAATGAATGATGCCAGCCAATATAAGGTATGGGTATGTCCGAGACGAATAGAATTTGATAATTCCTCCTGAGTATTATCGTCGTAGCCGATGTCAGCTGTTAGCTCCCTGTAGATGACACTAACTAGACACCTAATGATTTTAGAATGTCTCACTGAGCATAATACAGGTAATCGAAAATGGTCAACTCTTGAGTATACACTTGATGTGCCATCAAGCAGGACCATAGGTAGGGGGCTGTTCCGCCCTCCATTCCTGTTTGTCTGTCGTCGCAAAAGAAACCTAGATTGATTATGGCCAACTTCTGGACTATGATCTGATATGCTGATGCTTCCGATATTCCTATCAGATAATTATTATCAGCGTTGGTCACTTCACACAACTCATCCATTTTTCTCACTGAACTCGCAGCGCTTGAATATAAATCAATGATCCTTTTGATTTGAGAAGTATGAATGTTCTTGTCCAACGTAATTGAATAAAGATTATGTGTATGAATAGGTAACCTACATACGTAGGGCTCTCAAAGTTGGTGGTCTTTGTCTTTGAATGCAAGTGGATTCCAACTCGTACCCTAGGTCACTTGGCACATATGCCTCAAGAGTAGCAGCCGATGTTTAAAGAGAAGGTAAGATTATCTTAATTGCTCAATGTTTGAGATCTCCCTCTTGTCTGACCGACTATTTACTGGGTCAATATATTCCTAAGCTTAAAGGACAGTTGTAGGAACTGCTGCCCTGGAATAAAATGGACTGTATTATCAGTGTCTGTGTCTTCTGGGACACTTTTCACAATGATACTTCTTTCGCTAAATAAAGGTTCATTGGACTTCCTTGGTATGTGTCCTGATGATGCTGCAATCCGAAAACGGTACATTAGGCGGCCTATTAGCAACCCCTTCAGAATTCAACAAGTGACAGCCAAGTAGAACATCCTTCATGTTAGTGGTGCAAGTGAACGCTTCACGAATTCTCGGATGATTTTGTTATTTGGTTCCGTTCATCCAGGTCAGCCATATAACCGGCAGTAGTCTAACTTCGGAATTTCTGAGTTTCCTGTCTACATCTTCCTGAAGTATCCTGTTGTTTTTGTCTTGAAAACTGAGAGGAAGATCATAGCTGTCTTTAAGGCACGTAACTGTTGAGAAATTGTCGCAAAACGTGGTTGGTTTTCAAGAATCTGGGGAAAATTATGGTCCATTTTATTTGACAGTCAGATTAAGGCCCAGATTCCCGTGTTTTTCGTGGACTGGTCAGAGATCTGAGGCGCTGAGCATTTCTGAAGATGAACTTCTATTCTTTATATTCATATTGATGGGTGTACAATGTCATACAATAGAATTTTTGAGTCCCACAGTTGCAACAGGAGAGGCTAGGGCACACAAGTTTGCAGAGAAGGCCTAACACCACCGATGTTATGATGGTGCTGAGTTTTATCTTATCTTCAGTGATGTCAGTGCTTATTCCACTAATACTACTGTCATTGAAAACCTTCTTCTTTGCCTTACTGTGTGCTGCTTAGTGCTCATTCGTTTCGGGACTAGTTTATTTTGCGCTGTTGAAAAGCTTTCTGTAAACATATCAGAAGACTGATGATACTTCCCAGAATATGCTTACCATCTTTTAGCATTTTCAGCAAACAATCGTGACGGTGATATGGAAGTCAAGCTGCTTACGTATGCTCTTTATGGTGAAATATAAGTTGCCAACCAGGCGTGAACAAAAGTTCACACCCGTGAGAAAATGTGGTATGTTCAAAACGAATGAAAAGAATGCAAAAAGAAGGATATGTAGGATTAAGTTTTATTTCGATATTATTACGTATATCTTTGTAACTATTATAATAGACCCTATCCCGAAAATGAAGACTTGTCATGATGCGACTGCCTAATCAATAAGATCTTGCGTCGAAGTCACATCATTGTCTATTTTGACTCACTTTGTCGTGAAAATCAGCAATCGAATGTTTAGCGCTCCATCTAATAGTCAAGGTCATCGTGAGTTACTTTCTGGCTCCGGCTGAGGTCTTTTGTTATTTTAATTGATGGTTTATGCAAGTTTTCGTGATATGTTTTTCATTAGGTGCAAATCACAAAATTGTCATTGAGCTACACTCATGAATTTTTTGATAAATCTTAAGCACACTTCCTGAGTTTTTGACAATATTTTGTTTGTCACCAGTCCATCCACTTAGCACGACTTGTTCCATCCAGTATGCCCTGATTGGGTCATCAAAATAGGAGTAGCAGATCACGTCAGAGTAGCAGATATAATATGGTAATAACATCAAATTTACCAAGTAATGGAATTATCTCAGGTCATTTATCATATTTATACTTTTTCTCGGTATTTCTCATGAACACTCGTTTTTCACCATTAAGTGACTTAAGCCAAGTACATGAAACATTTTATTTTCAGCCCTCAGATGACGAACAATGGTGTATGTGGAAAACCATTTTCTCGTAAACACAAACTTAA